AAGATGAAAAAGTTRAAAGATATTGCTCAAGACTATTCAAAATTAATTGTGTTCCGTTTGTGATAATTTTTTTCGGTTTGAACCACAGGAAGCGATTGGTCCCTTCTCGGCTTCGAACTCAAGTAAGAACACGTAAGAACTGTGGACGCTGACAAACTGTCACTCAAACTGGGCAAAGTTGTTTTATAAGAACAAACAAACGCACAATTCTTAAGCCTGTTCAAAAGCCATAATTGCAAAGAGCTTCTAAAAATATCATAAATTTTGGCGCGAAATTATTTTCATAAATGCCTCAACTACTGCATTCTTGTTGGTTTTGTGTGGAAATCGTTAAGGAAATCACGAACAATGTCGATCTGCGGCTGACAAAAACAAAGTAAATTGTGTTTATAAAACTTATTATGTTTCTCATTATTTTTCTTACCATTGGAWGGACAAGCGTACTTCAAAATTATGAAAGGAGATTAATGAAATAGTATCAAAGGCAGTGTGTTTCCTACACTACCATTGCAAATGAGTAACCATAGTCGATGCTCTATTTAGTTAACAAAATTCGTTGTTGATCAAAGACAATCACAATAAGGTATAATCCACGCTCCTAATGGTCTGAACATTTAAACAAGGTACAACATGACGAGYACTAGCAAGGCGCATTGTTTTACCATCTTTTCAAAAACTATCGCAGTCAACGGGTTGTCATGAGTTAAAAATCTCAGGTTTTTAAAAGGAAAGAATTGTGACATGATTGTTAACCACAAGGAAGCCACATCGTATAGAACATTCACATTATAGGTCTCTAATCAACACTGACTGATCAATGTTAGTTGAGAAGAAGCGACTACAAATGACCTTGTGCTAAGTGAAATGCAAAGTTGTATCTTCAAATATTAACTAAACGAGAAAAGCCTGTTGAAAAAAGGGTTTTTCACAGATAATACTTATAATATGAAAGTAAAGCTTAGAAACCAAACATTGACGAAGCAGTCAGCGACCCCTCTAACCCTACACATACTACCAWCCCTATGCATTCTAATCAGACATCCTCTTAACCAATCAAATGAGCGTAAWAAAAAGTAGGTAAATATCGATGCGAGTTGTGATTGGTCAGTTGTATTCGCACCAGGAACAAAACATGGCACAAAAGAACCCACTATGACGCATTGTGATTAGCTACAAACTACTGATGAGTTCAGTTGACGGTATATAAGTCACAAGAACTAGATTAACCACAGTCAGGRATATATCCAACATCGACGTGTGCTAAGGTTAGTCCATGACATAAACTAGGTGTTTTGTATGCTRCRGTGTACTTCATATGTCGATCATAGAATGCATCTTGAAACGGGACATCAGCTCACCGYACAGYTCCACTAGTTGCTGTGTGCTAATTTTTTAACAAAATTATTTGTCCCGAAATCGTATTCAAGTGGATGCAGTCCAAGTTTGTTTTTGTAGACCTTTTAGACATTGAGGTTATTTTGAGCCTAATCGAAACTGATAATGCGATAGGAAAAGGGAAATCCCGCTTGGTTTTTCATTTGATAACAAAATTACCGTATAGTTATATTATTCCATAAACACTGTATACTCGTTTTAGATGGTGAATCGGCTGCTGTAACTATACAACTGTTGTTTATTGGTCTATAAATGAGATTTTCCTGACAACGAAACGAGCTGATAACAAACAGTCGTAGTGTAAACTATTTTCTTGTGATCGCCATACCTCTTTRCAAACAATTCCTACAATTTTATAAATCKTATTTKCTCGCTAGAGATTCTCCCGCTCAGTCAATCCACATGTACTTCACTCTTTCGATAACSKAGCAAGCACCCGAAAAACCAGTCTCGAAATCTAGTATAATAAACACCGGTTTAATTGAGAGTGACCTTGAGCAAATTCACTGCGATATTTGTAGATTTACTTTGATGGTTATCCGATATGTAAACTCGACAAGTAAGTCCGTCTAAAACCGTCTTACTTCCAGGGACTGTAACCATTACATAGCTCGTCACTACACATTCTACCAAACTGGGTTGGGCTCKTTATGATGGCTAAAATGTACTTTTTATGTTTTAGATACAATCTCGAACAAAAGAAAAACTTACACATACTTACGTTTTACCATCCTGTCAGCGTTCAAGATGATTGTGTTTTTTCAAAATAAAGTAATTTGAATTTCTGAAGTTTTTGACTCTTTAATAGTCGTTTTAGGGATGACTTTAATGGACCATGAACGACAGTGAAAACCAAAGAAAAGGCGTTCGTTAGGTTTGTGAATACAAGGTCAACATGTATACAAAAAACATTTACTTTCTTCATAAATTCTTCTATTTGATGCACAAAGATTAGTCTTCAAGCTGTTTTAATGTCTTGCAAACTAACGAAGCGATTCGCGATGGCCTGAATGTTTAGCAATATATTGAGTATACAAGWTTTTTTTCGCATTTGATCAAAGTTGATGGAGAGATTTATTTGCTGTTGTTATTCGCTTGGTATTATGATGGTAAACGATATAATACAATACTTACATACTCTTGYTGTAGTTTTACTAGCTATCCTAGTTGCTTCATCAATATACGATTCATTTTAAGCGGCGAAAATTTACAATCGAAAAACTGACAAAACATCATCTCTTCAAGAATCGATTTCCTCCAGCATTGAATAAAACCCTTTTAACCAGTATTTTGTATGACATCCAAAATATTCTCGTTATTAAACTACTCTTTTATGTACTGTATCTAGAAGACTTGGACGGAAATGGAAAGAAAAAATAATCTTCTTTCCTGGGCGCCGAACATGGCTCAATGTATTTCAGGTGGTTCAACTATATTTCTCATATAGAACTAGTAAAATATCGTTTTATCGCTTTGTTTTTTTGTAGGTAGTTTTTATTGTTTATAACTTCAAGTACTCTGCGGTTTGATGTGTTTTGGAAACCAGAGAAGTGCGCGATATATATATTTCACAATACAATTAAGAATAGAAATAAAACACATATAGACAGGCAAGATAATAGCGCGAGTTGAATAAAATGGGCGTCCTCGTACTAATAGTCCCGTGAACTAAAACACCTAAAAGATAATTCACAATAGATGATTGCCCCAGGGGGAATARCACTAGGTACTTAAAATCCGAACAAATCTTGGAAAAAGGTTAACATTTCTGATACTACCGTACATTTATGAGTTCCTTTGTCGATTGTAAACGAACGTAAAGTACTAATTAACTTAACTTTAACAAAGCTATTTCCCTGGAAATTTAGAAGGGCAATAAAAATGAAATTGCCGCAAACAGGTTCAATTAATCCTCTTTCATCGCCAATGCTAAAAAGCCCGTTCAATGTCTAGATATCTTTTATATCACTATAGATATGGGTCTGTACTCGTTCTGTCGTTTTGAGATATTTCCATGGGGAACTGAAATGGTCTCAGGAGTTTTTTCCATTTGTTTAAAAATCACCAGCGCAAACAATTTAGAAGTAGAAAAAGAACTTAAACACTGCATCTTGCAAACAGCAGAACAATTTCTATTTACGGGTCGCTTGTTGATAAGTTTGTGTGTCAATAAAAATGATGATTGCTCATTTTGTACTAAGACAAACGATGAGAAATAAGACCCATTTCTTTCATCTTCATCAGGTATTTTTTTTAAAGTCCTTAAAAGTAATTGCATCTTTATATTTGAGAGAGATCGCTACGTGTTTCTACGGATACAAAGGGAAAACATTYTGACCGAAAATTGCGATCATCAAAACTTCTACAATTATGATGTGTGCAAGGGTGATTCGGGGCCTTTTGCTATTGTACAAGGACAATGTAGTAACACAGCTGCCTAAGAAAACACCTGGAAATAGCCTTTGTCGAAGTGATTGACGTGAACCAAATTTGTTAATTAATTGCAGTCCGTTCCGGAAATGAGAATGAAGGATTTGAAAAATTTCAGTACTGAGTTCCCCACTGCCCACGCGCGCGCATAACTGCCTTACCTAGATACGGTAATAAAGGAAAGATATCTTTTGGCCGATCCCTAACCGATAATTACTAACGTAAACCCATGACAAGTRSTAGAGTGATGTGTTGAGTTGCTTGGACTAAGCTTCGACTGATGATAGACTAATAAGGATATTCGAAACAAACAATCATACATTTCGATAGCTAAAAGTGACAGCAATTTGCCAACTTATATTAAATGAATTTTATGRTGCATATGTACTCGCTGAATTTAATGAAGGACAAACCTAAACTTACAATGCACAAATAATKACYATCAGGGACGGTACTGAGCTTTTTATACGAACAATACCGAGGCAGGTGGGTGCCGTCGGTCTGCGCAACGCGTCGGACTATTTTCGCAAAATGCAATATTCAAGTAATTKCTGAAGAAAAAGCTGCTAAAAATAAATCACTCCTTAATGTAATTGGTTTTGTTTGTGATGCAAATCGGCATCCCATACCTGGTGACAGGGTTACAAGGCAGTTGCTAAAGAATGCTTAAAGTGCTTCAAAGTGGAGTTGAAGCGGGCAATCTTTGACGTCAAGAATCGATAAGTCAAGACTAAATGAGTTTGCTTTTAAGGTGCTCTAGTTAAGTGTGCAAGCTTAATCTCCGTCCTTCCTGAAAGACCAACTTATCAGCGCTCTTAAATCTTCCACGGATAAATTCCGTTGACCGAATTCAAACTAGTACTCTGTTGACATTTTGAACAGTAGATAGGRCCCATCGTAAAGAGCACTATCGTAATAATTGTGTTTGTTCATGAATCATGAAACGGCAATTTGTTTGTAAGCCACTATGATAGACATGTGATAATGGCCCCGGTAAATTTTAATAAAATGGTTTCCCCTAGTGGCTGCTACAAAGGGAATGTATGCAAACAAACGCTAGGCTCCCCTGAAATCCGTCCCTCTACTRGAACAATAGGATAGGAGGGGCTTATATTTATGTCACGACAAACGTTGTTGACGCATTGTCACTAAAAATAAAACTTCTTCATTGCTAGGAGGTAATCTGTGCTACTCACGCTCGAGGCAACACTAGAAGAGAGTGAATATTACTACGATACTAAGATGTTCAAATCTACTAAAGTAGCCAACGAGCTGGAGCTCTTAGAAATGGAGATGATGGAACGCGGAGTTCAACAAGGATTACAAGATCCCTCGCAAAACCCTCACGATATGAAGAAAGCGAAGGAAAAGGACAAGGCTTACAGACGTAGCTATACTCACGCTAAACCGCCATATTCTTATATATCTCTCATCACGATGGCCATACAACAGAGTCCCAATAAGATGTTGACGCTAAGTGAAATTTACCAGTTTATTATGGACTTATTTCCATACTACAGACAAAATCAACAACGATGGCAGAATTCTATTCGGCATAGTTTGTCGTTCAATGATTGCTTCGTCAAAGTACCTCGTTCTCCAGACAGACCAGGAAAAGGTAGTTACTGGACACTACATCCAGACTGTGGCAACATGTTTGAGAACGGCTGCTACCTACGAAGACAGAAACGCTTCAAAGCCGAGAAGAAGCCTGACCTTAGCCACCTAACCAAAGTAAGTAGTATGGTGCATAATCCAATCAGTGTACAAAGTATGTCTAAAGTAGCACAACCTCGCTCACTGGGGACTCCTAGCTACCTACCTCCATCGCCGTATGGTACAGCCATGGGAATGGGATATACTGGAGGCATGGGCGGCATGGGACCGGTCGGTATGGGAATGGCCGTCAACAAATCATTCAATCATCCATTCGCCATTAAGAATATCATCGCCAATGACCACGAAGCAGATCTACGAGGCTTTGAATCTATGCACTTCAGTGCTTACCACCCTGCTGCGTTGTCTCAATCCATGGGGTCCCCAATGGGACTTGCTAAATCCGCATACGATTCACAACCGATATCCACGGACTCGAACCCATACTACCAAGGCTGTGTGTTTACAGCGGCGAATTGCACAGGAATATCTGGTATTTCTAACCTTTCATGAACATGGTTGAACCGAACTATTCAAATGTGACCTTRCTCATAAACTCGCTTTTACGTGTACATAAATATAATTCAAATTACAACAACCAGCGTATTTTTAATATATGGTTCTTATGATTTGAGATAGTTGATCTACTTTTAGCCAATTTCGAGATGTACAGCGCATCAAGAAAACTCAAGATAAATTTATTATTATTGTAAGTATAAAGTATAGAATGAAGATAAAAATTCAAGTGATTATAAAGTATTTTGAAGAACATAAATCTTCTCAAATCAAAATATTTTTAAATACAATCAAAGAAATGTGATTTTAGTTAACGTTCCATAAGTTTAGGGTATCTGCCGGGCGGATTAAGTATGTATTTGTAGTACACATTCATCGCGCTACACATCGATTCCATTATACATAGATACTGGATATAGATAGTCACGAAGCGAGTGTAGTGTCATCGCAGTATTTATCACCGTGTTTATTTATATTAGCTAGGGAAGGTTTTTTGTAAATTTACAGTCATGTCTAAATTCATGTTTGTTAGTTCAAGAAAAATAAATTTTTAACGAATCAATATTGTTGTGTTGTTTGCTGGAGTAGTTTGGCTCGTTTTTGAACAGCGCGCTGACAAACATTTGAGTAAGCGCATTAGATTTCGAGTGGTCACCGAAAGGGAGCCAACCACATAAAAAAACGCTTGGCGCTTATGATTAAACTAATCACTTCATTGATATTACTTATAAATACTTTCGACAAACAAGCGCGCAAATTGTACCCACAGACATCAACGAAGGTCTGCAAACCTTCCATTAGTTTGAAGTTTTTAGCGCGATTTCAATATCAACATCTAAAGTCAGCTTGGTATTTATATTACGACCAAACCCAAGACCTCCCATCTCGCAGCAAACATAGATCACTCATTATTGCACGCGAGAGAGTTGAAATAAGTTGTTTTTGCGAGTTCAATGTTTTTTTATCAATCTACTCGGCGCTTATGGTTTTTGAATCTTTTTTTAGATTTTCCTTTCAACTTCTAAATCTATTGATGAGAATAAAAGACATTTTATCGTTACAACGCTAGAAACGTTTCTTTAGAACACATATTTGAGCCGTTAACAAGTAACGCTTCTCATCAATAGGATTACCCATCACAAACAACAAGTGAATGACTCACAAAGACAATCTTCTGCAAACTTTGCAACCTGTGTTTGGCAATGTGCAATACAAGAGATCAAATTTCTTGAAATCGGGCATTTGAACTGTTAGTTCAAACAGCGACATGTATACACAGTTAGCCCGCACTACAGTGAATCGTTTACTTGCGGTTGATAAAGTATCGTAACAACTCTCCAACCTTCCTTGACAAAATGATTTGAAATCAAAGACGGCGTTCAAAGGAATTTTGTTCGCTCAGAACTACCGTCAATACAAAGGTAATCGTTCACACTTCTCTGAAGGAGCCGGTTGATTGTCGGCCGGTAGTTATGCGGTGAACGTTTGCTTCACACTCTCRCACGCTTCTTTGCTTCCTGAAAGAGTTCATTCTGGYCATCGAGAAAGAAATGCCTTATGGTAAAGAGATTACAGGTAACTTAGTCATAAGCAGTGATTGAGAAACACTAGAGTTATTAGAGCTTTTTGTTCATAACTGTGATTTTTCATGAGCCGCTAACCGAACGCGCYTTTGAAGGTGGTCGAGTAATAGTGTTTTCTATAGACCTGAAAACCAACAACACAAARGGAASCACCTTAGTTAATTTATCAAAACCTCGACCGGTTACCACCTCGACTCTTTTTGATTTTAGTTACGTCTTTCAAGTAGTATCATTATCCTGTAGTTTAAAAGTTTTTAATTGCCGCATGTACCAGTGTTACGGAAAGGATGTAACCTAAGCTTATATCTCAGTATCGCATGTAAAGACCCTTTGTATATATCAGGGTATGTATCTGAAAAGTAATGATCGCGTGTTGTGAGCGATTACTTTTAGACTCTTTTTGCAATGAAGTGGGTTTTACTTGAAAGAAGCCCGCCAAGTCTGATCGATGTCATTAGGTGTAACCTAGTTATCGCATACGTCTGTTACCTTGCTTTTCTACCGGAAAAACAGAATTTCATATTCATTGTATTTCATAAGCCTTTCTTAATTAGTACGTATAGGAATAGAGCGCTTGGAATTTCGCAAACTCTTAACGACAAGTAACTGAAAGACTGAGGTGTAAGGGTGAAGTCTGTTAGACGTAAATTAATTTTCGATCTTATATACAATAAAATGTCGAGTTTCTGTGAAAGTTTTGCATACAAAATTCACCGGTACTTCATTCATAATATCAAAAGGCACCGGCAACGTTTTGGTTTTTTTTTAATGAATTACTCGTCCATTTGATTGTAAGGTCGGCATTTTGCGCTCATTTTTAAAGAATTCAATCGGATTTTAAAGAAGACAGAATTGTAATCCATGTCCGTTCAGAGATTGTTTCAAACAATGCTGCTTTTGTGCAGGTTCTGTTAGTGTACACTGGTTATAATTGGGACTGCGCAAATCAAGGAACAGCAGCATGACTTCTAGATAAACCAAACGTTTACAATAACTGCCTTGTTTAGCCGCCTAAGGCACCTAAAATGATAGTGTATTTCTTTAAATGAMCCGTAAACCATCAAAAATTAAACATAGTTCACCACACCAAGAAGGYCTGCTCTCCTGTCTCTTGCATGGTAAAATGATTCATCGAGAAATTTGACTAGTTTCGTAGCCTATTGTTGTGTTTATAGTATCAAGAATAGTTGTAATAAGTCCCTTTTTTTCTAAATGATCRCCGTAGGGTTGTTTTTAAAAGTAGTTGATATTAAAGAGTCAAGTCCCCCGCATGTAAGTGTTGTGAGCGCTGATAAGAGTAAGTGATACGCGAGCCGGAATATCACCATGTTTTTTATCTTTTAGGCATGAGTTTTATTGCAGTGATCAAAATCCACTCATGTTGCGAGTCAAGAATTCATTGTGTTACGTTAGCCTTCAAATGAACTTGAATCCATGACCGGAAAGGACGACCGGCCAATTTCACAGACCTTTCAAGATAAAATCATAATTTCTTTTTAGTTATCTTTATCTTCCGACTTGTGTGACTCATGTCAAGAATTCTAGCTTTTACAATCAGAGAAATAATAGATGTGGAGTAATTTATCCTCAATAAAAACCACAAAAACCCATASTGCTGGTTTTCATTYGGAGATGGAAATCTTGCCAGCTTGGGATCTCGTTTGAGGGATTTCTCTGTGGTTGCTTTGCTTTGTGATGCTATCATGGTCTCGTGTTTATGTTAGTGTACTAGCCATGATCTAGTCAGATGAGATAGCTTTCAACAACTAACTCAGAGCGCCTTCTAGACTCACAACCCTTCCGATAGAATATTGACCTTTGTCGGCCCAATCGTACGGCCGAATTATTACATTTCTGTGTACTTATACATGCAAACTTTGTCCCAGTTGAACGATCTTAAATTAAAGTGTTTCCTAAACTCTTGGAAGTATTTGGGTTAATAGTTTAGCATGTACACGCGCTTACAGACGACATACGTGTCTTGGCAAACACTCGACCACCCAGATCGTTTAAGGCTGGTCTTAATCGTGTTTTCTTTGTAACGTTCTTTTATTTATCAACATTGAACTATAAAAACACTCAACCTAGCCCATGACTGCGGCACCCATTCCACTAGTACTCGAGGCTTTTGGTTGTACAAGGTTAGGCCTGTATCAGGAAGGAAATACAAAGAAAGCCAAGGAAATGTACTAAAAATTGTCTGCTCAGAAGTAGCGCATTGAGGTAATGTTATGGTTTTTACACCCAGCCCGTGTCGGCTGTCAGCAAGACTCTTAGGATAACCAAAGAATTTCCGATCACAATTCCAAACATTTTGCAGTAACTAGCCAGTAGTTTATTGACTAAAACTTTGGATTTTATTTAGCATATTCTCAACAGTTTTTCGTTATCATTGGTGATTTTATCGTCAAGTTTTGAGGTCACARTTTGGCAGAAYTTCATTTGGAAGGTYCATATTGCTAGATCGGTACATCTTCTATTTCTTTGTGTATAAAAACGGTTAAGAAAGATCGTTTGGCTTTATTACCTGAATAAACTTCCCTGTGAAAAGTTTGTTTTGGAATTTATTTGTGAATGATTTGATCTGTCTTGTTCTGTATTAGTTAAAGGAAAGTACTGATTTTAAACAGTTTGCCGGCCCATTTTGAAATGTTGCCTCAGGGTTCTTCTTACCAAATAACATTACAAGCTAACAAGGGCTAGTCATGATGGTTCAAATATTTGCATGTTACACAGATGATTGGTGTTTTCCTAGTCTGAAAGTAACTATTATCAGTACATAAACATGTTAGCTGTTAAAACTACTTTCATTTGAATCGCTGCTCAAGGAAAACGCTCTACTTTACTCCATGTTTCCTGGAGTCACCCTTGTGGTTGAGAACTTGAATCGTGAGGCATAATGGCAACAACTAAGGAAGGCGGCTCGAAGCCCATGTTTTATCAAAAAACAATAGCTAGGGRCACTTAAGAAGGAAGCTTGTAGGTTTTGAAACAATTCTTGTGGTTTTGTAGGAAACATGAAGTTTAATAGTATGTCCAAAAGACGAGAAATYGGCACGTTCCGAGAGGAAGCATAGACCGATTCCATTCACATTATTTACCAATAAGAGCATTGTCAAGCCATGATGCCATGATGTCCTATAACACATGAAAGCATATTTTAGAAAATTTGTTGACTTATTCCATACCAAATGAGGCATTCTAGTTCTTATGTTTCTTGAGATTGCGTTTTTTATCTCTCCGCAAAAGTGATATTCGTTTTCAAACGATTGTTGTTGCCTTGTAAGCTGTCATCACGGATTTTATGAACAAGAAATTACTTAACAATTCGTTTCTATATATTATCAGTATTGCACAGAATATAAAACACATAAAAAATATCATTCTTCGAGRATACAAGAGGATTTGTCAAAACCTATCATTACCCTTCGATAGAAGTCAAACAGGGCCATGGGTTAGTGAACTAGGACAGCAAAACTACAAATATAACTTAGCAATTGTAACTCTAAGCAAGCATCTTTAAGGATGTCATGTTTTTATTTTAAGGGAGAATGAAAGTGTAGTTTTCAAAAATTYTCGTTTGTRATTTGRAAATATTGGTATGTTTTGTAATATTTTTGGTTGGTTTTAGTAATATTGAAATGCAAAGAACTATGCCATTACACTTGTAATTTGTTTACCAAGTTTGTTTGTTGTTATTTCATCTCTTTACAAATTCATCKAGAAAGTCTGTCGTAAGCCAAAATCATTAAAAAAGACTCCAAGTAATTCTCTAGCCCCCTCGGTGGGACGCTAGTACAACCTTTTTATTGTTCCTCGACTATTTGAAAGTCCTGCCGACTCTGACACTTTAAGCTTACTCAGTGGTTTATTGTGACATACAAATTGCCAACAGGATTAAGTTAGCTTTAGTATCTAAAAGCGTCGAGTAATCTGACCATTTTATGACTTTCACCATTCATTTGATGAATATATTGTTTGTTGAGTTCCACAGTTACTCTCCACGATACTGCCAAACCGTGCACAACTATGTCATTCTTTTTTCCAATTATTGTGTTCTTTGTATTATAACATTAGAAAACAGGAGATCTTTCTAAAGTTTCTGTTGCACTTATTTTTGTTTAATGGTGTTTCTATTCGTCATGAAGACTTAACTAAAAGTTCTTGGAACAAACAAGAAAATTTGAATCTCTAAACCCACAAAGTCAAACATCAGCGAAGGCTTAGGGATGTTTACTCGTCCAAAATTAATTTTAACAAGCTTAGTGACTACTAACTGATGAAATCCACCGCTCATAGAATACATATTTGAATCAATACATAGACATAACTATTGCCTTTTTTAGAATATTGGTTCAACTCAAGTGAACCCTGAATCAATGTGAACTTTGCCAAGAAAAAAAAAAACATTCAGAGAAAACCGCAACAATTTTAATTCCGAAGTTTTTCACAATAAAAHTGCGAGTTTCTTGAAATATTGAACACTTCTTTGAATCAATCTGATACTGAGATTTTCTCGTGGGAATTTATTTGTAGAGCGCAGAGTATCCTAAGAGTTTTACATTTTGGTACGAAGACTTTGTCGTGTAAACAGTGATTAGCAGAATTATTAAGGGGGCTGTCGAAACAAGCTAACGAAGTTGCCGCAGCTGTTGTGGTGTTGTTAGCTCTCGTCCCAGCAGAAATAAACAAACTCAACTCAAACCTACTATGAAAATAACTATTTGTATTCCTAAATTGGGATACAACTTTCAGAAACATGTGTAAAATGTGTAATTCTGCCAACATTTTAGTTTGAGAGGCACTTCTTGTGGTGGTTTAGGCTAAATAGCTGACAGTTCTCCTATTTACACCATCTGTTGTGTAGTTCTCGTACAAGTCTCTTTTCATTTCCCCTTTACGTTTTGTGTGTTTTTCTTCAATGTTGAATGAATATTTAGACTAAAACGATACATGTATGTTTTTGTTTTTATTCAGTCTATAATTTAAGACAAAAATGATAATTTACTTAAATTTCAGTCAGACCTTGCTTTGAAAATTCATTAATGAATTGATTATTATAAATTTCTTGTTATGATATAAAACCTTTTGAAGATTACAGCTTACTGCTATTTTTGTAGTCTTTCCATGAAAATGAATTTTGTAGGAAAGTTAATTATATTTGGTAAGAGATAATTCTAAGATAGAATTATATTAAATCATTACACTTAAAGAATTAATCTTCGCTCAATGTAAGCTTTCTGCAATTCCAAAATCCCTATCATTCTTATAAAGTCAGTTTTAATAATATTGTCCATTTATTAGTTCAATTTTGTCCCTTTTAATTATTTTCTTTTTTTCAGTACATAAACACGTTGGAAAATCGGCCACACCCGGAAAAGTTACACCGAACATTTTCCTTTAATGAAGTGAAAGTCTTGTTTTTTTATCGACGGAAAAATGTTGTGTTTTGTCTAAAAGGCAGGAGGGCATGCAAACTGCTGAAGTTGATTTGCAAGTAAAATAAGAGAACGTCAACTAACATGACATGAAAGACAACATATTCAGCAAACACAGCGTTACCAAGATTAAAAGACGCTGATAACATTAGAATAAACTCGTTTTCATTTATAAGAATTATTGCTTTCGATTCTAAATTCCTTTCCAAAAGTTTGAYATTTAGCCGTGAGTTTTTCTTAAAATTATAGAAACTAGTAAGCCCGCCATTTTGTCTATTTTACAAACAAACTCAGCGTTCATACAAGCAGTTATCTGAATACATCGAACTTTTAGAGGAAAATGTTTACGAAATCAAGCTCTATGTTTTCAAACTAAATGAAATGTCTTCAGCAAAGTACGTGACTGTCCCATCATGAACTCTCTTAACAACCCCCACACACTAAGTTGGCATAGTGCTAATCCTACTTTCCGCACATTTTACCTAACTTTCARTTTCTAAACGAAGACAAAATTGAATATACGATCTATTTGGTAAAACCCATTAACTTGTCAACCAAAAACCTCACAGGTTTTGATTGTATTGATGGTGGGCGATCATAAATCTGAGGGCTCAAATCATTAGACTAGAGGGCGACTACCATAAGAACAGCTCAACATGTCTTTTGTGATTTCTCTGTTTACTTCATAAATATGATCATGAAATTTAAGTCAACTTACTCAAATTTCAAACGACAATAGATAAAAAATATATTTCCCCTAACATGTTTTCCTAACCTTCGTTTATTTAAATAAAACACACTGCTTGTTTTCAGCATTATTCGTTCTTAAAATCRATGACTACTTTCATGAGAAAACCAACAAAAACTGCTCAAAAAACTGTTGATTCCGGAAAGTTTGTCTACAGCTGTTGTAATTTCAGATTAATAGAGAATATGGAAGAGAAAGATTCCGGGTTGTGTTACGAGCAAACGTAGAATTATTTGTCTAACCTTCTCCGCCGATTGTCGCCATTATGGTTCCGGACCATGAAGCTCAGTGGTGCRGCGATTATCTTTCAAAACAACTTTAGCGCTCGTAAATCTTAACCAAGAATCGTGAAAAATACATASGTTTATGTTATTAATAATTCCAAAGCCAGAATAGTGTGTTTTTATTTAACGTTTGGTAATGATCTTGTAATGTTTTTGACCTTGATTTGTTATCGAAAGGGCTCACTATACCGGATGAGTAATCTCCATCGCTCGACTTACCCGGTGGACTTATCACAACATTTAAATCGGGAATTCACTCAGTTTAACTTTAAGTGAATTAAAATATTTCACCCTTGAAATCCATGCCGATTTTTATATTTTTTTTCTTATTTCGATCCGATATATATCTAGTTCTATTTAACGATTCAAAGACTTCGCAAAAAACCGCGCGCTCGAATTCTTTTTTTTTTTTCGTGAAGAATTCTTTACTTTGCGATGATGGCAGTAATTTATCGTTGTGTTTGCTCGATAAGAAGACTTCATGTAAACTTTTCATTGAAGTTTTTGAGTGAACGAGTGTTGTGTGTATTTTGCGTCGGTTCAATGGGATAATACCTCTATATCTTGCTTGCTTTGCGGAATCTCTGTCATGGTCAACGAGAAAATGGTTGACATCGAAGGTACATGTTTGTTTTCCAACCCGCCATTGGTAATTCAATGGACACGTTCTCGATTGAGTTKTGAGATGTATAAGGCACTATATTAGGACCAAGCAAACAGTTTGTCGGTTCTGTCCTTAAGAACGTTTATTCGTGAATTCCATACGATGAAAGACATTGGAATATATCAACCTGTTTACCCTATCTAAACTCACCAACTGTCTTGGGAAATTTTAATTGTAAATATTGCTAGAGTAAAATACACATACAGCGATGCTTTCAATTGAATGGTTTGTAAGCTTGTTTAGCTGATCGTCTAGCGTTTTTCTGTTTAACGAACGTATAATATTCCTTTTTTCGCTTTTAACAGCAGCCATTTTTCAATGTTCTCTCACACTCCACTTTCCGCAGGTTCGGAGAAGAAAAAACACGACGCATAGACTTAACCCATTACATATTCCTTTAAGATTGACAACGTTTAAAAGTGGAAAGCTCTTTAATTTTAAGACAACGAGTATTGTGTTTTTCTGAGCCGTTTAAAGAAAGAGAGGAAGCTAAAAAGCTGACTTTAGTTGGGTTTTTCCTGTTGGTTCTGCCCTAATCTGACGGCGTGTCTCTCCGAACATCGATTTAAAAGATTTAATGTTATCGATATAATAGAATAAAATACACTGTAAAAACATGACAGCTAACACAGAAAGACTGTTTGGAGAGCAATGTGATCCCATAGCGAGCCATCACGACCTGTCTTTCTTATCTCTTGCCATCATTCATTCATTTCTTTCTTTCTTTTTGTAGGTTTTGTAGCGCCAGGAGAAAGAATCGCAGCCATTCTCAAGAATTCTTAACCTGTTTAAATCCGTTATTATGAGAGATCCTTAAACATGTTTTAAACAATGTCTTATCTTCCTTTTTCTGTGAAATGAGTGGAATTTGATATTGTGAACCTTTTTTCTGATTTCTCGTAAACAGAACTCAAAACCACAAATAGATTACAATAGGAAAATAACAAGAGAAAGACCACAAACTTTTAAACTTGGTTTTCAACTTGTTTGCCTTCTATCTATATTTTACTTGATCTTGTTTATTCATTTCAGCATTTTGCTGTATTCTACGACACTGATACAAACAATGCCATTATTAAGACATTCATTGAACTGGAGGCAGAACTATTTGAAAAAAAAKATTTTGTTGACTTCAATGTTTTATTATTAAAAAAATAACATGTGTTTACACGTTTGATGTGGAATCCATTTTTTCGTTTCTTGGTTGTTTTCAGGATACTGGGCACTCGGGATTAACCTTTCATTGGAGGCTTTTTAGAAAAACTAATATCCGAGAGCAATTAGAACAGTTCAAACATCTTAATCAAGGTCGTCATCTATCCGTCAATTTGTTCTCTACTTCTCTAGTGGAATATTCAGCGGAAGGTTTAATATCCCATCCAACCCAGCAAAAACATCACCTAAATGTGAATGTCATTCAAATTCACACTCATCTTTGCATCTACTGGGTTAGTTACTTTAGGAATTGAATTGTTTCGCCAGTGGAAATGAGAAACTACATATGTTTGCTTAGGTTGACAGATAAGCCCTTGTCGGTTTTTGCCATTCCACTTGTCTCACACCAAAGCCTTTCAAAAGATCTTCTGGACTTTTTAATATCATTTACCGACGGGCAACCCTTTTAGGCTATTTCCACAATAATTTACACTCTTCAAAAACACTTATGTTGGGATACCAAGGGTATCTAATACCTTCCTAATATTCAAGAGAAATCTTCATTAGTTTTCGATTGCTGTTTTTGCAATTGAAAAGTGGAAAGGTCAGGACGAACGACGGTCCGTCTGTTTGAGGTGTTTTGATCAGTGCCATTAGATATTCGACTAAGAATCTTGACGTCGGGAAAAAAGGTTTCACGTTCGAAGTGTGTGCTTATCTCGCCTTTGATATGTTCAAGAGAATTGTGTTCATTGTCATCCATGGCATATGCTGGTTTTTGATTATGTGTCTTAAAGCTCGGAATATCAGCGTAAACTGATCCCCAGTAAGTCGGGATTCTCAAGTCCATTCATTGTTCGTAAGTGAACCCTTAAAAGCCCTGCCTTTGTCTCCTTTGATCAACATTAATCAGTCCACTTTAGGGTTATCAGGCTAACTTAACGAACATTTACTGGCAAAGTGAAGAAAATGCCCACAATTCGTCTGATTTTGTGAATAAGATAAAATCAATATAATGTCTTTATCTTCTCGTTTTAGTCATTTTCATAGTGATATTTGTATTCTATAAAACCTTTAAGTTTGTGTTTTCCTGTGGTGGACCTATTTTTTCTCTAATGTTGAGGTTWYACTTTGACTCCCTAAAAGTCACTAGCTTACAGGTGCCAAGTTAGATCAGCCTAGAAAACCCATYGCTTAAATCWACGACAACTTTTTTATATTCTCTTGAAATCACTCTCTTTCGAAACAAGTGTTGAAAATGTGTTTCAAAATAAGTTCTAATAAGCAAACGTGTTTAGACTACTTAGAATCTTTTGAGTACGAGCGGTTAATAAGTGCCTTTAGATCTCTTTTCAATATTCTTTGTAGCATCGTGTGGAAGTTTTTTCGCGCTTGAGTGTGGCGCGACTCGAAAACAAACCCACATGAGTGTAATTATCCTTGTATTTTTATCAACGTATTAATAAGGCTTTAAAAAACTCAATGCTGACTCAATGCGCAAYGAATTCTAATAAACGAAAATCCCTTTTTTTCTCAGTGATGGATCTAAGAGTTGACTAGTATTTCTCGATTAATTCCTCAACGGCCGTCGGCAGGCACTAAACAACAAAAAACTGATTTGGTATTTTACACTTTTTTAATGCCGTTTCTTTTGTTGTGGATACCAAAGAATTACTTTTCTTTTGTGATTGACTTAATCTTCCAGTTTTAATTACAAAATTGTTCCATTGTGTTTTTCCAAAGAGTTCAGAATTGCTGCTCTATTAATGAGGGTGTTATATTCATTAGCACAGACTTTTCTCCACAAAAGCTTTTCTTTCAATTAATTTGCAAACCTAGTAACCTTAAGTGATTGGCTTTGAATAGATCTATCTTTTCGGCTCTTTTCATTGTCCCATYAGCCCGCTAACGCAYTGAGGCAAGGATAATAATTATTATCAGAAGAGTTGAAAATTGAAGCAAGAAAAACTGTGGTTTAGCGGACCATTGGCGTGCGTAATGCAGCGCCTGAGAATTGACTATAATCCAATGGTCCAATGCTTCCGGTGATTTATAGAATTTAAGAATATAGGTGCATAACAGTATACTTCGTTTGTAACAAATCATTGTTTTTTATAAGATAAGACGAAAAAGTTCTTCAGTTTTGAATCAAAATCTAAACATTCATAAGAGTTGGCAACTACTACTACTTGTCTTTATCTCGGCGATTAATCATGGCATGTTGATGTTAAAAAAGTTTTTAAAGTCCAAGAATGATAAGCTACCATGTAATCTGTGTTCTTTACTCGAATATGATGCACGTTCGTACAATCTATCAAAACTTGGCTGCTCAATTCATTTTAAAATTTGGATTCTTAATAGTGTAAACAAATTTAACAGTCATCCGACACGATCTGTCATGGCGCTGTCGCTCTTCGCCAAATCTGTAATTCATGTTTTTATATGACTTCAAAAAGATAGCTACCAAAGAATGCTTGTGTGCTAATGGCAAGTTGTCTGGCAACTCATTTCAGTTTCCATAACTCGTAGAAAGTTTAGAAGTCATCTTGTAAAAGTCAAACTTATCGTGAAAAGAAAGGATTAAACCTTTACATTACAGAGTTTGTTGTCAATGTATTGCATGTTTTAAACCAAGGGATTTAGAAGTATACATACATGAATTACACCATAAAATATTGACTTTATAATATTAGTTTTTGGACATCAATACATGAAGAGTAAGCTTAGTAAAGCTCAAAAATCGTGAAAGATTAGTTTTTCAAGGTTTTTAAGGAAAAATGCTTTCTTGGTAATGGTACATRTTGTTGTCTTCGTCTAAGATGTGAAAGACCCGAGGCCTGCATGGAGCTTAGTATTTATTGCTACATTGTTCTGTTGTATGCTTTGACATATAACTGATTTACTGGGATTCTGTTTTGTTCGGCCTGACCTAACGATATCTTATTTTGCATATTACTAATGCAGTGAAAAGACCCAGTGTTTGCACACCTTCCTAAAGCAATCGAAAGCTTTGATCACTGGCTGACACATCGGAAAACCCTTTGTTATACACCTATTGAGRACCACAAAAGCTGCGGATATCAAAAACCAACAATTTTATATCGAAAAATTGCTTTTTCTTMAAACTTTTGATGATTCAATATGTAATTAGCTATATCTTTGTGAAATAATGTGGTTTGATGATGATGAGATGTACTAAACGTCGTGGTCTTAAAATAGTATGGGCTCATTACTGCATTGAGAGACGTTGGACCTTTTTTTGAATTGACAGACACTTTGACGAACGTAATACAGAAGAAATTCCAAACTGAGGGTTTGGTTGGTAGGGATMAAAAAAAAWCTATAAAACCCTACGCTTTGTGATGATAAATCAGCACTTTACAGCGCAAATCTGCTATCARTGAGATAGATAGTTGTCGATCTTGTTTGATATCTCTTGATATCACAAGCAGAAAGAATTCAAACAAGTCTGAAAAAATAAACTCATAAATGTTGTTTTGTGTTGACCCAAGAACAACTCAAGGTTTACCATAAGTAAGCTTACACTGTTTATTGATTTTTGCTGAAAATTTCGCAACCATAAAATTGATTCGATGAGATACGAACCCTGACTACGGTAAACAATGCTTCTAAAGGTCAAGTTGCTAAAAGAAGAAAAATTCTTCAAAGAAATACCTCAAACACTAAATTTTATGTTCAACATCTTGAAAAGCTTTGCACAACAAACGACAACAAAATCTTCGCATTAGCGTCACACACACGTGTCTGTGAGTGAGTTTTCTCAAAAAGAAAAAAATTACTAAAAACGTTTATGCATGATAGTGACGGCGTGTTTTCTAGTTACAAAAAGATGCGATGGTGAGTGACAAGGTATTTTTGACATTGCCTGCAATCATTATACATGGACAGACTTCTTCACTTCGCAAACCAAACACTTCGAAACTTGTTTGTTTTTCATAATATTGCGGCCCGTTAACAACTAATATTTCAAACGCAAGCTGAAAAATCTTATCATTGGAAACATCGCACCATTCCTCACGCTAGCAAACATCTACTATCAAGAAAAATAATCTATTTTTTCCCTATTGCCTAATATTACGTACATAGATAAAACCAGMATGTTGAATTTTCTTTTCTTGTTGAAAACAAGTAAAAATAACATAAAGAATGTCCATCAAGTTTGCGGATGTAATAATAAGTTGACAATTGGCCTTCTTGYCATGCYCTCTGGGAATTGATATCATWCTTGTTATTACCTTAAAACATGATATTTCAATCTACGGGACAACAATAATCAGGCCTTTCCTTTGTAATTACATGTGCTTGTTCTTATTCCTAGATTCAACAAAAAAAGCAAACATTTTGGCAGTTTGTTTTTACAGAGTATTTCAGACGTTCACCAAAAAAGATAGCGTAAACTGATTTTTATTCTGTCTTGGTTGTGTTTTTGCACATTCAATAGCCTGGTTTTAAAGTATCATTTAAAGTTTTTGGCTATAATGTGTGTTCTGTTCAAGTGCATTTGGCAGAAATAGTCACCTTTTTATTACCTTACTAAAACACTTGGGAAAAGTTTGGAAAATTGTAGAATATTTGAAGCCAAATCGTGGCATGTCCAACATAAGGTTGGAAAACCTTAAGCAAACAGGTTACCAGCTCTATTTGCAGAAGCTTGTGACACGGATTTCACGATAAAAACCTTGACAGATTTGCAGTGTATTTGCCCCAAGAAAATATTTTATTTAGCATTGAAATTTGGAAAACGCTCATAATTCATTTCAGTATTTACTTTTAATAGGAACGGGGAAACGGAATACAAATATGCCAACAACATTATAGGTTCAAGAAGATTTAGCTGACAAATGAAATTGTAGCTTCCTGGATTTGGTTCTCGAATCAAAATTYTCAACWTTCCCCTCCYTAMTCATTCATCTCTTTTCTTTCTTCAAGTTTCTTTAGTTTTCCAGCTTTTCTCATATTCTTGTTTTCTTTCCCAGTCGCCATTCTTTTCTCATTCCCTTCCATTCTATCTTGCTTTCTATGCTGCTGTTTCAAGCCATAAAGCAAATTTATTTATTTATTCATTACAAATCATCACGCGAGCATCAAAAACAGACTGCAGGCGGTCATCCTTCATTAACGCATGCGCGGTAAAGGCTCTGATATTGATTTGATAAAGTGTGTGCTAAATTGAAACATCTGTGCGCAGGCTATTTCAGCAAATGTAATAACATGTGCGCACTGGTATGAAAAATGCGGCTCTCTACGCTGATGCTCGGGTTTCCTGTACTTATGTTCGTTGGGTTAGCTGTGGTGAAGTCATAAATTGTCCACAAACCGATTCATTTTTTTCTCTGGTTGGTATAAAGTCTTTAGGTTAGGAAACTATTAAAGCGATTAATAATTTTTCTATTAAACAACGTGAAAAAGAGAAAGGAAAATCGCAGCGCAACGAGATTATCGCTCCTGAAAGCTTTTGAATATTGATCTAGAAGTATTTGTTTATATTATTTCTATTGGGTAATTTACTTTTTCCAGGAAAAAGCCCAGTATTTTTTTTTATTTTTTGCGAATTAAATTCTACTTTCAAAGCTTGTTACCATGATCGTCCGAGACAGCACAGGGAGTCCATTTGGGATCAGGGTCGCAAATTTCCACATGACCAGCGCAGAAGCTACATTAACTACATTAAACTAAAGAATAACACACTTACTTGAATGAAACATTTTACTTTCTTTTAAGGAGTGCGTTTCGAGAATTCAGCTCAAGGCTTTCCTGAAATTTTCTTCCCATTTCAGCTTTTAAGTATTCAATTTCTTTACATTGGTGCTCAATATTAGAAGGAGTTTATTTTACAGTAATCCATATTTGGATTTATAATAAGAGTTTCATCCATGTACCCATGCCAGTGGCGGATCCAGGGGGGGTTCCATGGGTTCCTAGGAACCCTCTCGAGCATAAAAATTAAAAAATCTATCACTGATAAATGAAATGAAATGAAAACGCATTCGACAATAGGTAAGCAGCTTTATATTGCACTTTTACCACATGGCTGCATTGTACCCACACAAAACTGTAAGCGTTTTGTACAATGTAAGAGATGCGCTACCTATAACTACATTCGCGTTACATTTGCTACAGTTCGAGAGGCACAGTAAAAATGTTGGTTTTAGGTAGGAAAATGCGAAAACAAAGTGGAACCCCCACTTTGAAAAATCCTGGATCCGCCACTGCATGTTAGSAATGTTTGTACCACTGATAGGCCAATCTCCCCGGTTAAAATCAAGCTTTTGCTAAATGTCCTATACGAGTTCCCAGTTAAAATGATTTTTTTTTCACAAACAGTTAAATTGTTCATGGCGGCTGTCATGAACACCGCGATGCAAAAACAYAAGAAACGGAAAGAAAAATGCTCAAAAGGGTGTTCACAAATAAGATCCTCTGAAGTGATTGCTCCCTTTTCTGTGAAATTTCATAGAGTTGCAAAATGTACAGTTTTGTTGGCCAATTTTGTACAACTGTACATATGACATGATTWTGCGTACAACTTTACAAACTACACTATGTTCATTCAACCTTTTCTATATATATAGGTTAAAATTGTACTATCAACAAATCCCTCGAGGCAGACGTGGTTATATACATGAGAGTCATTTCGGGCTTTCAAGAGTGCTTTCATTTTTAGTATCAGATATCTCCGCTACACTTTCTCGAGCGTCCTGTCGCCATTTCATTCTTCGATTTTGGAACCAGACTTTGACTTGATTATCACTAAGTCCAAGCATTGAAGCAAGTTGGTGACGATCAGATTTTGTTAAGTACTTTTGAACTTGAAATCTTTTTTCTAGACCTTTGCGTTGCAGGTTAGAAAAAACTGCTCGAGTCCAGGGTCTCCGTGGTTTGCGCACTTTATGTTGGCTGGGGAGGACTGSGCTTGTGAGATGAGCTTTGTTGAGTGGTGATCTTTCATAATTGTACAGACCTAATTAAACAATATTTTAACGTCATTATTGATTAACAATATTTACTCTTCCTAGAAAACCTTAGCAATTCTATTTACGCCTTTCTCGTGTTATCCCGCGTGGTCTATTTCACCAGGAACGCACGAAAATGTGTTGTTTATTGCTTTTATAGCATTTTCGCATCCGTTCGTTTACRGGTGAAATAAACAATAACATTTGACCAATCAGAAAGCGCGTACTATAATAGCCATAATATAGTGGATGACTCTCTGTGACGGYTAAAAAGCAACACATAATAATACTATATAGTTCTTACCTGTATAACCTACTGATGCCATATATGGATAAGACGAGGAGTGATTATAACACGCTTCACATCCACTCTGTAGCGATGAAAGCGCATGCGCAGTGTATATATGAGGATTCCAGAACGCGGACTGATAGTAATCACAAGGAACTGGAAACGAAAACGTGACGTTAATAATGTAACGCAATATGTAACGCAATATGTAGGAGAACAGATAGACCAGAAGGTATTAAACAATAGGGATTGTTTAGAGTACAAATCTCATGAATCTTACTCCGAATCTCACGTGATCAGGGAAAATAAGAACTGAGACGAAAGATTGAATTAATATGAATTTGGCAAATGTGAGATCCAATGATTAAAACGAGCCTAAGCCGAGCGGTGACTCTAAAAGCTATTGTCACAGGTAATTTTGATGAAAAAAAAACATTCCATCAATACTTTTTAAATCAATCCCTTTCAAGCTAATTATGAATTATTTCTAATTATTTCTTTTATACAAAAAGTTACCGAACTAACATCAAAAATGACGCCAATAACAAACAAAATCGATAAAAAATAAACACATAACGAATGAAAACAGACAAGGAAACAAACAATAATTCGAAAGATCTAAACTTTCATTAAAATACAAAGACGTACGAAGGAATTMCATCAATTTATTGCAATAGTTGATTAATATACATGATTACATCTAGTATTCTTGACAAGTTTCTAGCAATCATGAAGTGAAATTAAATTCCATTTACATTGATAAGGAATTTATTAGTAGCCAGATATCATGCTTTACCATCTATCGAGGACCAGTGAGTGTTGATAGAACATTTTGCACCAGAATTCCAAACATGAAGAACTGTTTATTGATAGCAAAGATAACTATCTGACCTTGCATCACATTGCACCGTCTAAAAAACTATCCTTGTATTACTAAATATACACTTGAAGTCTTTGTTAATGGATGCATTTTGAAAAAGAAAATGGTCTGTTCGTTGTCTCGTCTTGTAGTAAAACGTTGCCACATGTTATCTTTCCATTTCTTTATGTTTGTGTGAATGGATTGTTTATTTGCTTTCTATTTCAAATTAGTGGATTAAAATCTCAGAGAAACACTTTCGTTTATCTTTGTGACACGCTTTTATATATTTTTGTTTTGCTTTATGTGTTGTCCGCCGATAGAAAGAWGTGTTTATTTTTGTTGTATATGATGGTAATGGATTAAACTCGCATTACAAAAGACGTTTTGATCTATAACACAGTGTGAGCAAAACAGATAAAAAAAATACACTTGAACATGCTTGACTCTAAGTGGCAGATGAATGCTTTATATTGGTCCACGGTATGTCTCGAAATAAGATATCTATTTAGTCCTAACCTAGCAACAGCAGCTCGCCATTTTATTCTAATGCCTAAATAATCGTATTTAGATCGGCCACACCCTAGACATTCGTAGCAACTGCTTCAAAATGATGGTGGCTCTCATAGAAAACATTCTTGAAGACAAAATTCCAATGGCTACCAACTAAAAATATGACGCAAATAAATTATCTTAGAACCTTGAAGTTGTTTTATATTTGTTTTTGAAAACTACAACGTGATTCAAGACCGTTCTCGCCATCCGTTGGTCTTCAAATTTTATTGAATTCGATCGATCATTATTCAAAGTTCACGTCTTTCAATCATTGAATCATTTAGTCATCTTTTTATTCATCGATCTTTATTGCCTCACCTCCCGTTTAGGAAGCAATCAATATGGACAATGAAACTATTGGTATTACTTGCCAAAATTATTGATTTCTGTTTCATGTTTAAGTTAAAAATAAATRAAATATGCACTTTGTAAGAAACCTAAAATACTATTCCAAGAATGATGATATTTGAATGGAAACAATAATAACATATATGATATTTCATAATGTTACATGAGACATGAATCCAAAGGATTTCGAAACTATATATGTAGTTTTTCTAAATTTATGCAAGCACATTCTCAATCATTTATTTATTAGCTTGATTGATACTTGTCATATTCCTTAAGGGGGTCTAACTTTAACTTATTAGTTAAAAACCCAATACACTAGTCAATACAATATTACAAGCCATCCGACTTTTAAGTATTGAAAAATGTCATCTTCTTGGCAAACGTTTTTGGCATAAGATGATGATAATCATTAATAATTTATTACTATYATTATTATTATTTTGTTGTTATTATTGTATGAATATTACTAGAACATCAATATATTTTATTCTTTCAATATAATCTTAAAAAATACTACTTATTTTAGTTAGAATATTAGATAAAATCAATGAATATAAACAATAGCTAAACTTGCCCTGTGGGCCTTGTGGCACGAAGAGAAAAGACGGACAATTATAATGAACAGTAAAAATTTTGAAAAGACAAGAGTTTTTTGTCGTGTTTGATAGTTTCATATGTCAATCTAATGACCAGCGTGTGATTGGTTATTGTCTGGTACAAGGTGTGCTGGTATATGCTGGTTTACGTCAATGCTAACGTCATTCAAGGAAATGGATAACTCCAACACTTGAACAGAAAACACAGATCCTTTTATAGCGAAACTTTTAGTCCCTGCAAATGAGTTTTGAGGAGTTCATTAAATGTTGTGTTTCCTGTCTTGAATTGTTAAACAAAAGAAGAGTGCGTTGGTGTTAAAAGCATTGAACTTCTATCAGTTGTTGTGCCAAAATATATAAAGGCTAAGATACGACTTTATCTACAAAGAGAAAAACTTCAGATGAATTGATATACTATAAAAACTGACTCAAGCCAACTGAGGACCTCGAGATAAGCCTGGGTGGCCCTTGGTCACAACATACAGGAAACTATAACCTATTATTAGCTCCATTACTCTTCCGGACAAAAATTGAAACAAAGTTACAATTAAAGAGCTTTAAAAAGAATGGTCTTGAATAGTATATACATTTTTAATTATAATTTTTTTATGTGTGCCATACAAATATAGTGCACGAGGCCACAGGGAAACTCTTTTTACAGATCACTTTGTTCATGTTTTATCTGACACACTGGACCTTCTTGTAGCTGTGCTGTAGGGTTTGATAGGATGCACAGAATATACTATAGTACTATTGCCTTGATTGTCTATTGTCTACCTACTAGTATCTCATTGGACCATACCCAGCACACTTGAATATAAGTTAATCAACTTCATTTCAAGATTAAGACTAAAAAGTCGATCCTGTGATCAGATGGAGGCTTGGAGAATGCTGAACTTTTTCTTCTGTCTGAAATATAATACTCGTCAAGTTTTGGACCCAAAAGCTTGGCAAACACTTGAACATGTCAGTGAAAAAAATCTAGAGCATTTAAGAGCCATTATCTGAGAACATTACCGCTTTCTCTGAACAAATTCCATTGAGATGTATTCAACGCTAAATTACGTCAATAATGCTATTGAAATCTGCAACAATCCAACGACTACTATTGTGGCTTTCTAAGGCTGACAGCATGTTTGTGTAAACTGGAGCTCATTAAGCCGACTAATGGGTGATCAAACGAACACTTCGTTGGCATCTGCCATTGTTGTTGTTAGCTTTAAGCCCATGAAATATTTTAGACCTGCATCTCGAGCTATCAGTCAAAGGACGATTTTATTAGACGATAAATAAAGAACACAAATGTTCTCAATTGTAGTTGATGTTTATTAACTATTACTAATTTAAACTGCAACTGTACAATATGTATTTTTAATGTACAAAGAAGGCCAAATCAAGAAATGAGGGGATTTCACTTCCAAAAATTTCCCCTCCATTTCCAAGAACGTTTCACTTCAAAAGAATAATCTTTTTCATGATGCAATATGTAATCAATAAGTCTTCCTCGTGGCAGATAATAACGTACTATGTGTAGATAATCATCCCGTCAGTTTATTTCACTGACAACGAGTGACTAAGTTCCTTGAGTGAATGCAAAAAGTCCGGAAACATGCAGCCTTTGGAGCGATATACGAATAGACAGCGATAATCCGTGATGTCGTTGTTGCTATGCACAGGTTTTATAAGGCTTTGGACTGTAGATTTATTCTTTTTTATCCAGACAATTTCATGAATATTTTACATGACTGATATCAGTGACGGAAATTCAACCTACTAATTCTGCCATGTTCCCTCTCGCTAGATAAACAAACTCAAAACGTGTTGCCTAATCCCGCTTTTAGCTGTTACAATTTGAAGTAGGGACTGCCTATTGCTAGGAAAAGGCTTGTTTGAATAACTATCAACTCCAATATATAGCAAAGTAATTGAATTACAGAAAGAGAAAGTATATGTTATGTAGTTCATGATAAGGCAAGAGTTCAAGACGATTTCATACTGAGTACAAGGACATAACTTGGTTATATCGTCTAGATATCGTGACCTGACTCTCAACCCAGACTATAGCTAATTGTCTTGAGCAGCTATCTAACTGATCAAAGTATAGTTTGAAATAACTTCAACAATGCATTTCTCTTTTCTGCTTAACTATTGTCTGCATTAAAAAGCGCGCTCACACAAGAATTTTCTTGTTTCCAAACTTTTTGTTTCCGAAGTCATTCTAAAAGCAGCGTTATTGATGACCTGCAATAAACCAATAGACTTTATTGCCTTACTTTTGTAAATAGAAACTGTGTTTCAACATTGATTGCGAAAAAAACTTTTTTCCCGTCGAAACAAGTGATGATATAAGTTTTTTAAACTAACATTCCCATTATTTTCCTTTCTGAATTAATTTCTTTTTAATTGAAAACTGTTTTGACTTCATTCTATGAGGACCAAAAGCCTTGAACAACAAGTCATGTCCTGTTTTTGATGCAGTTTTTCCATTGCACATCCTTTCTCTGATAAACATTATCAAGTACAAAAGCCAGAAAAAAAAAAACAAGTTATTGCTTAACAACCCATTCTGGAACGGCTTTGTGTAATACAAAGGACAAATAAATTCGTAGAACAAATGGCAAAAAATGGATTTGTACTACATGACGTGCATTTACTAGTTTTACCAAAAGTTACTGAGCACAAAACGTGCAGAAAACCGCGTTGAAGCAAACAGTCACCAATAGTATAAAGGCCAATAATAGCTACACCTGTAGATGAATTGTAGTAGAACGGGTAATAAAGACAGGCGTTGAGCAACACGCAGAAAACCGCAATCAAGGTAGAACGTTTAATCTACAGATGTTGTTTTTAAGCATCGAAGAAGAAAAGGAAACGCCTAACCATGCTCTAACATGGGTCTCATTCGTAAGAAAATAATGCTATTTTTCTGAAAAAGCCCACGTTTTTGTAAAAAAGACATTTTTAGATCTCTCTCACCGTCCATAATAAAAAGCAAAAACAGAAAAGAGTGAATCAGTTGGTCTAGAGATTCGTGAAAGAGACTTGCTCCAAGTGTCATAGTGGAAAGGTATTGCAATCAGCTCTTTTAATTACACACGATAAAAAAAACGATTGTGATATCTAACTACCTCTCCAAGCGAGCTGGCACACGGACAATTACAGATCTAATGAAAAGTCAGTCCAAAAAGGCATGAATAATTCTTATTTTTCAAAGTACAAATGGACAATATTCTATAGGAACAGCCTCAATCAGTCTAATTGTGTTCTTGAATCACTGATAGGGTTAGAAAGCTTCTTTATAGGGATACAATGTAGGGCAATGAATACGTTCCTGGTCCACAAATGCCTGGGTAACACTCGATAAATCACAACTAGTTTCCAATATATAACAAGAAGAAAATGGCTGTTTGTCGACTTTCATGGGGTAAAGTTTGGTCATCAGGCTATTACATGTTGTCATTTTATCCAGGCTTCGTATACAATCTAATTAATTAGGACAGTGCGTTCATTATTTAATAAAAAGAGAAAATAAAACAGTTCATGGCATTCGCATGGTCACTGAAATGTATTGGCCCCGTTGTTTCAAAGCACTCGAATAGTATTATTGCAGCAAGCGTTCACTTCCGATGGTTCTTGGGTTGTACAATAGATCGCACTATGTTTGTAGAATGAGATATTTTCTTTGCAGATAGTTAACGATTGTTTCGGCCGAATAAGATCTCAATATATACCAGTGAATCAGTAGTCAGCTATCTGCTATAGATAGAACGAACATATACAATCAATGTAATAAACGTCGACTCATATGACAAGCAACCCGCCTCTTCTATTCTTAACTAGGATAACGATAGGAGCTAAGCGCCGACCATGTAAAAACAATATCACGGTTGTAGGTTAGCCCTAAAACTTAGCTGAACTTTATTTTAGAAACACTGTTTATAATATATAGATGTAGTGAAACCACGAAAGTTGGCCATATAGAATTCGCGCTTTATCAAGAAACATTTCATGCTAAGGAATAGCGATTCATTGTCACTAAAAGTCAGACTTATAAACCTCTTCTTACTTGCGATAATCAAACCCAGCTTATCTCATATCATAGCCATTTTAAACGCGCTTCGGGGATTTAAGAAATCCTTCTGAAGTAATCGGAGTGGTAAAAACAGAGCGTGTTTTCTGTAAAGATTCCATATTCTACAGTCAATCACATCGTACTAGTGATATCATGATAGATGTTTGGATAGATGAATTAAATCATTCACAACACCGTTCTACTAGTCAAAATAAACTTGAAACTATTGTATTCATCAGGAACCGGGCTTTATCGGACTATCTAACTGTTGATATCGCTTTTAAGCCACTTATAATCTACACGTCCCGTAAATTCTTTAGCTACGAATAGCAGCTCATTCGCATCATATAACATATCACAATATGGCGGCTACATTCAAAACCTACCATAGCAATGTAAAGGACTTCGACGCTCATGATCGCGATTTGCAAGAAGCTGGTCGACTCCAAAGCTTAGCTGTGCGGGTTGAGTTGTAGAAGGAACAGCACGTTGCGGTTCAGGTTCGCGTGGAGGATTCGGTGTGGCAAGGATATCATCAATACGAAAGGACGATACTCGTCTTTCTTGTGTAGAATCTTCATCCCTTGCAGTCATGCTTACTGTAAGAACGTTCAAAGCTCGTTCAATGTGATTCTGGTTTATGGGATGTCTATATATGACGAACAAAGGGAAACTAGTCCAGTGATGCTCAAGTCTCCAGGTGAGGTCAAAGTGACAGGATCATGTTGATTGTCAGGGTATATGCCATTGATGACGATTTGTTGATCTAGATGATATCGAAGGCAGACATGTACCTTTGATAAATGAAAGCAAGAACCAGGACAGTGACCTGGACTAGATGGATATCGTACTAGTAGATTCAAAGTTATGGCTTGTTGTAATCCTCTTTATTAAACGATTAGTGATAGATATGCTTTAATCCGAAAATTGGATTATCAAACATAGGAAACGCCTGCTTCCAAATCAATTTGTGCAACTAGGGTGGCATCTTGCACAAAATTGTACAATTTTTATTACTTTCTTTATTGGCACAAACAGCTAGAGAAAAAACAAACATTATTCATGCAAGGAAAGGAATATTGATATAAGTAGAAAGGTTTGGATGGTAGTATTCACTCAAGGGTGGTACTTTAAACATGGTCTTGCTGCATTTAGCGGCCATTTGATGAACTCGCGTCGTATTACAAAGTGATGACGAACAAAAACAGAACATCCAACCCTAAGGCTTTGTTAATTAACTCATTATAGAGGTGTTCCATAGATGCCCCGATAAGACGTTTAATTTCACGTTAAAAATGGAAGATCGTTCAGGGACAACAGCGTCTCCATGGTAGCGGCGTAAGGCCTTATCGCTTTTATATTGCTTTCTATATAATTCTTTGATGTAAAAAAAGCTCGTGAGAATCATATTAAAGATCTCGACAGTCTCTATGTTTGCCTATTCCAACAAAAACAAAAAGTGTTTTCGTTTGAAAATTAAAACCCTTATCTTATTTGTGAGCACAGCTCAACGGAAAACCACTAAAACTTGACTACTTGCACACTCGAAGATGAGAGGGCAATTTAGGGCAGTTAACTTTACAAGCGGCAATCAAACACAAAGAGAAAAAAGCGTTTTATGTTTTCTTGTTTTCACTAACTAAACGTGTCTAGCTGTTAGGACTTCTCATGACCGGGCAATAGAAGTTCAGGACCAAAGTTTATCACAAGGCTTTATATGTCAAGAAAACCATGTCAAACCTGTCGAATACCACGTCACTTTGATTCGAAATGACTTTAATGTGTGTGTATCGATCGACTCAAAAATCTTTGCCAAGCGAAAATTTTAATTAATAAAAGTTTTATTCAATGCTAAATGGAGTATACACTAGTGAAGTTTCCTCTCAGAAATAATGAGGTTTTTAAAATAGTTCGATAAAAAGCTCATTGTGTTATTAGAATCATCAATATACCCCCAGAAGTGTGAAGGGTGTCGTCATGAAATTATTTTATGTCTTTTGAGATGACTTCAATCCAGCAATCAAACTTGTTTGTTCATTTTTAAAACTACTTTATTCTCTCCTAACAACCGAACAACCTCGGAATATTCATCGGTCGGACCACAAGAAGGCGTTTTTATAATCTATGAGCGTGTTTTTGCAATTCGCCTTTTGTTTTCCTTTCTGTTGCTGCATTAAAAAGTTATTGTCAATAGTGATTGCACTACTTTAGACAATTAAATGATGAAATAGGTTTAGTGAGTAGAGCCCCTTTGTATGATAATAGTGGACTTATTATGACAACTGAATAAAGAATAGAAAAGAAATATACAAACATTTGCATGAGATAGGGGCGGTTTGCGATGGATAGTAAGAGAATAGCAGTTTTTCAAGCTCGCCTCACACTTTCGCTTTGGGATATACAGGACGAACAAATTTGAAGCAAATTGTAAAACTACGAATTCTTTTAAACTTGTGAAACAACGTTTTATGACTTCGGGAGAGCTTTCCCCTGGTTCCATAGGTTCTAGTTTAAAACAAAATCAACTATAGCGAAAAGAGTAAAACGAGCCTCTGGAGCTGATCATCGTAACTATGCACTTTCTAACCACAAACACTGAAAACAGACTTCCGTCATTTAGTAAAATATAGCTTTAAAACTCAACGAGAGTTAAATTGTGCAAAAGATCGATGGCAAGTTGAGGAATAATTACAAGGCTGTATAAATATATCATTACTTAGCATTTAGGTGTGTGCTGTTGTTTTTTCTTATTCCTTTTCTTTTTTTCCCTTTTTTTTTTTATCGATATTCATAATTGCTTGGGGATGTACTTTGATGTCGTGGGATTTGGCTTCAAAAGTTTATAACAGGTATTTTTTTCTCGTTTGTGAACATCGTGGGAACGCGTCAGAGGGCAGACCGATAGCAAGTGTTCGACTTAGGATTAGCTTAGACGTGTAAACAGGCTTGTTAAATACATAAACAAAACACTAATGCTCTTCGATAATCACTAGTGACAAACGAATCCTCTAAACTTTAAACGTATTCTTCTTTTATTGTAATAAACTATGTTTTGATGGTATTAAACGTTCATATATATTCAATGGAAATACATAAAAACTATGAGAAATAGCAGATAAAATAGTGCAAAAATAGTATATTTCTATGTTCTGTAGGGCTTGGTTTCGGAGCCTGTCAAGCTTCCTTTAGTAAGACACGTGTTTGCCAATTAACAAGAGAATGAATTTTCAATGACCATTTTTATGTATCTTCATGCTACTTCAGTACTTGAATGCTTCAGGGGGGTGACACATATGTCTAGTGGTCAGATGAGGAACGGAAAAAAGTCTTGAAGATTTCACGCCACTAAGTGCATGAAAACAGAAGATTTTGACAGGAACATGAACTTACTTCTTTATGGTTAATGCCGGTCGTGTTTTATCATTGACTAGTTAAGTCGAGCTCATTAAATTGCCAATAACCTTCGTATCCGGACAGTAGATTCTCAAGAGAGAGAAGCAATCTAGTTATCTTATTTATACAACCCACGTATGGTGGAAATTGATGACTACAGCGAATAAAGAATATTACTTTATTGCAATTTGAGCTACAAATTACGACTCTCATCAGATCTGATGGAGGCATATTTAGCACCACCTCCAAACCCGCCCTAAAGGTTATCAAAACTACATTAGAAAACATTGTATCAACTTAGAGGGACAGCTGATGAATTGTCTTACAATGTGTCAGTCAAGACCATCCCATCTTTCGTACGCTATTAGAAAAAAGTCTATTGTAAAAGAACACATTTGTAGTTGTCATTATCTCCAATAGTAATGCACATCGCCATAAATAAACATTCATATTGTTGATGTTTCCGATATGTTGAGTAATTGAAGTTCAATTTAAAATCTATTGTGTTTCAAGTTGTTTTTGTTAGATGGAGATATAGTAAGATGCGATTTTAATGGTAAGCCGGTCAAAGGTTTTGTCACGTTGTTGGTCGGACTTTTTCAGGTTGAAGTGCTAAGTATCTTACCTTCGCTTTTCTCGCTTTAATTTACTAAATATTATTTATAGTTCGTGTCAGTGTTATCTAAACTATTCGAACTATCTCGACCATCTTGGTTTAATCCGACCGTCCGTAAGTTCGATATAATTCATATTTTTATCCCTCTCAACCATTCATTCAATTCACAACCATCTCGTTCATCCATCCTTTTTCTCTTTTTATTCATTCTCTTCTGGGTGAAGATTATTATCATCATTTTTTTACTGAAAAATCCATCGATGAGAACATTTTAAATACGTTCCAATCGTCTAGACGACCGAGTGATAGTGAAGAGGCAACCAGTTATTACGGAACGTTCTTACAATAACAGAATTCCATGGCTGAGTATATCCATCGTCTTGTTCATGTAGTGAGCAATATTCTTCTTTAAAATATGCATTATTTTCATTTATTGTTGTCCTTGAATTTGAAACTTATACCAGTCTTTAATATGTGCTACTATGGAAAACTACAAAGTAGTGAATACTGAATGGGAATACAAACAAAATACACAGTTACTATTTCTCATGATGTGGGTAGAAACAGTACAGTGCAACACAGATATTCGTTCAATGACAAAACAACCTTTTAGCTCTAGACAGACTCAGCCCTCTTATTTGATTATGTCAAGCTATTGATTTTAAGAACAAACAAAATTGGAAAGAAAAACAAACTATTGAATAGCTTGTGTAGTAAAAACTTCCGTTCAATACCTGGCCAGCGTTGCTTTGAAGAATTCTTGACCCATCATAGCAAAAGAACTCTACTTTGACAAAAAGAAACTTTTACAGCCGAGTTCAATTGACAAATAATATATAATAAAAGAAACCTTTGTTGTCAACACTATAACAATAAAAATACGGAGTATAATCCATGACGAGTTTTAATGCCTTTGAATCGTGTGTAATACTTGTTAATAAAGTGATGCTTCACAAAACGAAATCGCGTACAACAATAGTGAATACCCTACAAAGACTAAAATCATACCTACATACATTCCTACCGGCGGGAAGACAACCAGTTGTACTACAAAAAGAACTAATTACATTTACTTTTAACAAGGTGAGATTTAGATGATGTACACCAGTAGTTTAACATTATGTAACAATAACCAAATATGATTACGAACATAAGCAGAAATAGACGACAGGAAAAAAAAGTGAAAGAAAACACAAATGGAGCCGAGGAAATAGTAGAAAGAAAAGTTAAAAGAAAAGAAGAGAGAAATGAGAACAGTAGAAAAAAAGACAAGATCCCGTGAGGCCCAAAATTGTTCTCGTAAACAGTCTAACATTATTGTCTTGTATATATTGATGGTATTTTCATCGGGTATAGATTATATTATTCACTCTCATTTCACGGCAATTAATAGATATCCGCTGATAACTTTGAAAATAACAATAATAATGTTCCTTGCCTTCCTATTCATGAAATTGTAAAAAACCATATGTCTTCAAGTGTTGGTAATTATGTTTAATTTTGTTTGGTAAAAGAGCTAACTCTGCCTCACTTGAAGGCGCTGTAACGTCAAGCAGTTATATGACTGACAGCTGTGCAAATGTTAAATGGCGCATTTACTGGTGAATGTAAAACAGACCACAAACAAGTCAAAACTAATCCCTTTTGTAATTGTGTATTTTGGGTTTTGTTTCTATGCTTTTTCCATTAACATGATACCCAGACCATTTCCAGAGCAAATGTTTAAAACTATTAACAATTTGTCAAACAGAATTTTGATAAACATTCAGAGGAAAATTACGCAAAAACCACTCTGTTCAGAATGGAAAAAAAGCTGATGTCTCTTACGACCACAATCCTTTTCGAAATATTGCTCTGCAATTTTTTCGATACTGAACATATCGAACAGTAGGGGACGCGAGTGCGTTTTCAGGGAGCGTTCTGGAGCTCCCCTATATTTTTGCTCAAAAACACTTCGTATTCATGTGCATGTCTTCGTTATCATTTGAAAGCACCTGCGCATCTCGGACTGAAATCGCCTATTGTCATACATACTGACGGAATACCTGTGTCACGGCTGTTACACCTTTAAAAAGGTATAGTTAAGTAAGGTCACTATTTAAGTCAATGACAACATGAAAATAATAATATTTTCTCAAAGCAATTGAGCCGGGGAAACAAAATGAACTGGTGACTGATGTTTCTAGCGCGTTATTTATGACAAAACTGCTATTTCAAAAGACAAAACGTAACCGTTACAGACAAAGTAATTATTATCAACTGTTGCAAGGTTCTTTTTGTCGATTGGCGTAAGTTATTATAATTCAATAAACACAAACATCAACATTGATTATTTTAGCGAGGAAATCACAAGAAAATCATGTAATAGAACATATAGATTTAATTTGAATTCCTTATGATAAGATCATAGAAGTTTAAAGACATCCTACAAAATATTCTTTGTTGTTTATTAATTTTAAACAAGAAGGGATGGGGTGGTCCGGAGAACTGACTCTCTAGGGAGGTGAGGAGTTGTGTTTATTCTTCTTCTTCTTCCTCCGGAGATTCATATTCTTCCTCATCGAAAGAACGCAGAACACCTGAGGCATCAACAGCCTCTTCTTTGTCCTACAAACAAAAATATTGAATGTACTAAGCACCAAATCAAAAGACAACGAAACGAAGCCAAGAAAACAAGAACAACTAGAGCAACAGCGATAGCAAAAACAACAACAACAACAACAACAACAGCAACAGCAACAGCAACAGCAACAGCAACAGCAGCAACAACAACAGCAACAACAACAACAACAACAGAAACAGAAACAGCAACAACAACAACAACAATAACAGCAACAACAACAACAACAACAGCAACATAAACAACAACAACAACAACAACAACAGCAACAGCAACAACAACAACAACAACAGCAACATAAACAACAACAACAACAACAACAACAGCAACAGCAACAACAACAACAACAACAGCAACAGCAACAACAACGATATCAACGAAGATCTGGTAGCATACCTCATCTGTCAGCGTTTGATTCAATTCCTTGAATTTCGACGAAGGGATGTCAGTTGTTTTTCTTTTCTGGGCATTACCACTCTGTAAACACAAATTGGTTTGAGTAATTATGACATAGCAATTTCTAGAGTATGCAACATGGACTTACACCAAGCCATTCTCCATCGAGGACTTTAGTTGCATTTGGACGCTTCCTGGCGGAAAAGAAGGATATCATTAAAATTAAGATTGCGTCTCTCTCTCTAGTAGTAGAATCAATCAGGGCGCGTGCTTTTTACTTATCCAGCGATTTTCTCTATAATACCAATGTATGCTGCTTCAACCTTCGACGACATGAACAATTACTTCTATAAGGGTTTATTGCTGTCACTTACTCAGGTATTTTCGTAATGAGCGATTTTACCAAAGCTTTTGCATCATCACTTGCTTTTGCAAACTTGTCAGCGGGCATTTCGTAGTCAACTGCAATTACTGCTTGTGTGACGTCATCTTCATCTTCTCCATAAAAAGGCAGAGTTGCACTTAACCTGAAATAGCCAACTGTCATTTCTAAGAATGAAATAATACCTTGTTGACTGTGATAATCAGTGATAGTGAAAATATTACTACTTCCGCATGCTTCTCATCGCTGCTAGTACTACTGCTGATGATTGAGGTTCTATTAATGAATTATATTCACTGGTTACTTACAGCATGTATAAAATGACACCAATACTCCACATATCAGCAGCCCAGCAAACAGGATCCATGTTCAAAAGCTCAGGAGCTGAAGTCAAGAAATTAAGTAAAAATCTCGTTCTAAAAAACTGTTGTATGCAAGTCATAGCAAAATTGAGATCGATACCTTAACTACTAACGGTTATAGAATCAATGATTTTTTGCATATATTTTACAAAAAAAACTATTGGCAACTCTTTGAAAGATATTTATTAAACATTGATAACATAGAGATTAAAACCTGATAAGCACGTTATGTTTAAGTAATTGTCCTTAAAAACGAATTAATAAAAAAATAACTATGCGCTCTTAGAGCGCTAACTCGTTCGCCACAGAAAATCTCTACTGCAATTATTATGATAAGAGAGAAGTCAATGATATTGGAATGGTACAAGTGTCACAGAGCTGTATTTCTTACCTGCAAATTCAGTAACACCTATTGCGTCTACCAGTTCTCCTCCGTCGGCATTGATTTTACGCGCACATCCATAGTCAATAAGCTTAAGAGTGTAGTCCTTTTTGACCAAGATGTTAGCAGGCTGAACAAAATAATATTTCATTATTAGAAAACTTTATACATAGCTAACTATTACCAGTAAGCACGCACCCTGACGTCTAAGTGAACGATCTTGTTGGCATGAAGATACTTGAGAGCTTCAAGAGTTTGCCTCATCACAAATGCAGCGTCCTCCTCGTTTGCACGTGGTTTTTCCCCAAGAAACTCAAGCATATTCTTGGCTTCAACACTAGTGCATTGTTAAATAATCGGAAAAGTATTGTTAGATGTTAGGAAAATGATGGGAATAAATGATTTACAATAAAAACTCACGAATCCATCATGATGACAATGTATTTTCTAACGTGGAACCCATCTCGAGTGGTCAGTAGCTTGTCATTCTTTAAGTCCTATTTACAAATTAAAACATTAGTTAAAGTTGGAGTTTATTCCTCCTTTGTTACTTTCCCTACTTCTCGCTTTTCTTCTCTCTTTCCCTCCCCCGTTTCCCTTTTCCATTTCTCCTCCTCAACCAGATTTGGAAGGATAGAATAATGTATATCAAAGTAAAAAGATTTTTACGTGAGTGAAATGTGGTTGGGAGAGAGGAAGGAGGAAGATAGTTGTAAGTGAAATGTGGTTGGGAGAGAGGAAGGAGGAAGATAGTTGTAAGTGAAATGTGGTTGGGAGAGAGGAGGGAGGAAGATAGTTGTATTCCACCTCGGCGTTTCTTACCCTCATTATGGTGAACTCTTGGATGGCCAATTTTTCTGTATCTTTGTCATATTTGATGAGTTTTGCCATCATATTCTTTTTGGTCTTCTTGTCCATACATCTCTTAATGATGGCATACTTGCCCCTAAAAACACATGATGAGTTCTTAAGAGTTTAATAGCTATGTCTGTTTCTGTCTTCAAACTTCCCTCCCCCCACCACGCCCCCTCACCTTTTACACCCACAAAACAGTGTTTTTTATGATTTAGATTCAGTTAAAAGTTGTGGTGCAATGTTTCGCGGTTTCACAGCGGTTATTTTACTACATGGACATGTGAGCTGACAGCGAGTGGCAGCCGTTTTTTGCAACTGCAAATAATGTTAGCTATTGCTATTAAACTTCAATGATTTTACAATTTGGAAAGCTGCGAGAAGACAGAGGTTGCTTTCTCAGCGGTCTGATAGAAGATGTAGTGCGTGACAACGCAATGTTACGTGCTCAATAACTGTCACGAAACCGCTCAAAAAAATGAATAATGCGGCTTATTTGTGACCATGGTCACGTTGCGTTTTGCCTTTTCACAGTATTTACATTTCTTTTTGAAGAGGACCGGAAATCTTTACTGATAATCATGGCTTGAGTAGAAACCAGTGACGAATGAATACTATGCTAGTTGCATATACTATCAAGTTATTCTGTTAGCTGCAGTGTTGCTTACAGAACTGCAACAGCCCCACAACACCCCACTATGGATCTACTGCACAACCACGTTCAAGTTGCTCTTTATGTCTTAACTACAGATTTCAAAACAATTAACTGCGGTCCAAGCAACTTCTGCATTTTTTCTCTTGATATGTGACCCATGAAAATCATTCAAGTGAAGAGGAATGCAAACAGGACCTCCTTTCTATATATAAACATTCCGATATATGGCCATCGTATCGACACAGCAAAACAAACACCACGTTTACACAGAAATCTACTCTATTTGATAAACTGTCGCATAGTCATATTTTTTCTCTATCTGTTGTGACCTTCTATAATGTCGTATTGTTGCAACCCTAAACATATGCATAACTATAAATACAATGTATCAAAATCTCGTAATTATAATGATATAAAACAAAAAACTCGTCAATATTTGGTCCAAAATAGTGCGTTAATGAATTTTTCAGACGTAAAAAGTGTTCTTTTCCTTCAAAATGGTGAATTTTCAATTTCTCAGAATAATTAAAACCAAGACCACACGGCCTCATGCAATTGTTAGGTGAAGAATAAGACGAGTAATCACTAAAACAGCATCGACACAACTGAAGATGTGTAAAGCACTGCTTGTGCGTGAACAGTGTCTATGAAGTTTAGACAAACAATAAACGTAAATAAACCAGTAAATACACAGTTACTGATTCATAATGAGTGTATAATAGTCCACTACAATTCTATTATCATTCCATAAATCCCAATATGTTTTCAAAATGGCTTCCCACATATACTGATATCAATGGACGCTTGCTTGAATTGTTGTTTAGATGATTAATTCTACATGCTTCACTGAGGACTATTATACTGTGGTTATAGCGTTCAAAAATACACTCAAAATCACATGCGTACATAACGAGATTCTTTCCAGATACTTGGAGTCGACTCGGCCCTGATAGCGAGCACGAAGGATGAGGTCAATGTCACTAGCAATCCATACAACGTGTGTATAGAAAGAACGGACGCCGTGGAGCTAACAAACTAGGCGACATTTCGCTGTAGTTCCCGCAAATCACTTGTTAGCTTGTTAACTGCTTTACGACACTTTACAGAAAATGAACCCTTGATTTTGTACATTAGTTGAGATGGATTTTGAGAACGGCTTGACGCCCTCACGCAAAACTTAAGTAATGGCTACTCCACTAGGCCTAACGCGTTCGCAGATGTTCTAAACAGTGAGACTTTTCTCTTCGCTACGGTTCTTAGAGGAATCCCGCGTCACACCCTTAGCTATTCCCAATGTTTAAGGACTAAACAAAACCCTACTACCTTGCTACTTCTGCCTTAATTTGATAAGTGTTCTCCGGACTTTCTTTCTTCAGCTCCATGATCTGAGGGCCAAACTTTTTTGCGCCGGGCTTAGACATCTCGGATAGTATTTCGTCCTTGACGCGCGAGATGAAATCTGGCAGTCGATTCAAGAGTTGTTGTTGACAGTTGTCCTGACCCAAATGAAAATATTCCTGTTAGAGTCACGCTCGCCTGTGAATCGTCCCAGGCTCCCAAAGTGCACGGTCAGCATAAAATCACGATTATTCATCCAGTCCAACACCAATGAACAAAAGTGGAAAGCTTGGATTTTTCTAGAGAGTTTTTTAGGTGCAATTTTGGAGGAAAAGCATTTTGCGTGATGCGGTACAAACTGACTGACATTTTTTAAGTTTAATATTGTTATATATCAATTAAAGTGGACAGAGAATCACGTTTTACTAAAAAAAAACGACAGTACAAGTCAATATTGAAATAAAGTTTGTTGATGTTAAATATGCTTTTGTTTTACATGGTTTCTATGCTATAAACAGATGTATTTCTTAGCGAAAAGATACTTTGTTTCACTTCAAGTCACAAACATAACATTACGAATACCGCATAAGACATAATTAGTTTCAAATTCTTAATTTACCTAAACAGATTACCAAAATCTCAATACCATTCAAAAACATTTTATATTTTTGAAATAGATTGTGTGTCTGCATCTATAATAATAAAAGTCAGGGGGGCACACCCTTATTTCTGACATTAGCTGTTATAGCGACATGTTGCCTTAATCTCAATTCGAAGTCTTGTTTTCTAATCATTTCATCTGAATATCTAAAATAATATAACCAAATGAGGTTTTCCAAGTCAATGGATTGATATTCATGAAACTTGTGGGTGTATTCCCAGAAACAGCATAGGTTCTTATCGCGCATTGTTCGTTATTATGCCATATATAGTCTACTTATCAGCCTTCGTTTAAAGACATCACCTGTAGTAGACTCCATGAATATTCTTTTATCTTAAAGGCTTATAGTAATAACCACGATGTAATTGAACGCGCTCAACATTTTGGATAATGTGACATTTCTACAGTCTGTGTTTATTCATAGATTACAAGTCACTCACAGAGGGTTTTCATGTGCCCCAGAGGTCGTCGAAAATACTGCACCTGATATGTCTGATAGCATAATCTATACCGACGACGAACAGCAATTAACAGAAAATGTGCAAAACTTGTTGAGGTCTGCGTACTATTGAAGCATCGTCTAAATAGCTGTTTCAAACACACCACGACTTTGAAGTCTTGAAAAACTATCTATATATACGTACGTCAATCAGATATCAAAACAAGTACTTGGCAGGGATAATCACCATAATATTTTAACCACAGATGAAAGATTGAATTAATGGAGGTTTTGGAAATCGAACTAGAGTGTGATAGCAATGAGAATGTTTAGTAATCTAGATGTCTTGACTTTAATACCTTCATATTATTCCATGGGATTGTTTAGATATATAATTTAATGATATGAATATTATTAGTCTTAGCCAAACAAAAAACAAAACCTATCTTGCTGTAATAGTTGACCCTGATAACATTATTAGGTGTGGATTTCAAAAGCGCCATCATGAATTCGTTTAGGGTCAAACTAACTTCACTAGAGGCCATTGCATTTACAACTTCTACGGTGACTCCAATCCCTAAGGAAACTTGGGAGGGGACGGTCCTAGGACATTAAATTGACCCCTGAACGATCCCAAAGCCTTGTCCAGCTGAAACCCTCGTTTTCACGCGCCAATAGATTCCCTTAATTTGGCATCACCTACCAGCATGCAACACGATCGTGGTGTAGATTTTGTTTTATCATAGGCGTTGTACGGGGATAGCTGTTGCTCAACAATGRTTCGGTAGCCATGACTTTTGATAAAAAAAATCTCGAAAAGAAAATTATGTTTACCTTGACATCGATTTCATGAAACCAACACAGGCAACCCAACAATCAATGTTAAAATAACCTTATATTCAGTTAGTTTTAACAAACGAAAAAAAAAACATTTTCTTTGCCTTTTTATATAGGTTTTATAACTTACAATGGACATACTTTTGTACGCTATCAATCAAATAATCAATTAACTGTTTATTTACAATTATACAAAAGAACTTAATAATAGTGTGTACTAAAACTATTCATAGCCCGTTTTACATGTGCCGAGCCTTATGTAAATAACTGAAATAACAATGAACAGTTGCAACTCAAAGATTGTGTACATGTAAAATACGACATTTGCCTTTAACTTTGTTTTACAGCGTAGAGTTGAGTTGCATCGCGACTATTTCGTTTTGAAGTTTGTTTGGACTTTCTTCTTTTATGTGATCTTGCTATCATGTATTATGGGCGGAGTTTTTATTAAAGTCCTTCAATAATTGCTTGGTCCACCTCTAGTCGCAAAAAAAGACTAAGAGAAAAATTACGATTTCTTTTGAATATCGAAGTCGCGATGCAACTTTATCTGCTGTATTTTTTCAGAACTATTTGGAGGGAGGTTTGAAGATTAGTGATGATTCCCTTTATATGTTCTACAATTTTGGAACTAATTTTGGAGCTAATTAGAGTTGATAAGCTCTTGAACAATGTCCCTTAGTCCTTCAACAAGTAGCTTTGTCTGTGCCGTCTGATTTGCTAACATTTTTTCTTGCATTTCCATGATCCTACTAAACCACTGTTCCTGCCGTTCGAGTGATTCTTCCCAAAGCTTGCAAAGCTGCTTCAGGTATGGTTCTTCGTCATCGATATCATAACTTCTCTTTCTTTTTAGTTCATTTCCTGGATTTTCGACGACAATAAGTCCAGTAGTTTCATCAATCTGGTCATGTTCGGCAATATAAGACTGCGTATTGTCTTGAGTTAATGGCAAGTCAAGCTCATCTTGAACTGAGCTGGTTGACGGCGACTGTAACGCGGCGGAATCGGCGTGTATTCTTGTGAAGTCGTTGTTGTTTATGTTCGTTTTGCCAAGTACTTTATCCAAAGCGTCGAAGAAAGGAAAACCAGCTTTCAAACGATGTGCTTCAGTTTCATCGGACACAGAGAGTTGAACCTTTACTTGCCGATACTTGTATTCAAGGTTTGCAACACGTTTTCGTAGTTGATCCAAAGACATTGAAATATTTGCGAGATGATGCTTCGAGCATGCGTTTTCGAATTCCGTGGCAATGTTTCTCCATAGATCTCTTTTAATAGCTATCGTACCGCCTTTTATTTGCTCAAATTTTGGTCCCCATACTTCCAGCAAGATACGAGTCTCACTAGCACCCCAAACAACTCGAGTTCGACGCTTACCTTCTTCCTTCCTTGTAGCAATTGAGTTTGTGTCATCYGTGAATACTGGACTTGTAGCGACCGGAGAATGATCGTCTGCGTGGACAAATGTTAGCAAAAGTTGCTGTGGTGAAACCATTGATACTGAATTCTTATACTTGGTTTGTGATTTTACTCTTGACGCCATTGATACGAGGAAATAAGCTGAAATATCGAGCAGTGAAGACAGTGAAAATCGTTCTTATGTGGTTGACACTTGAAACCAGGCTTCCAAAGTAAACTTGAAATCTCCCAAGCCACTTAGCAGGATTAAGTGATTTCGGGTTCTTTGAAAATGAACAGTTTCTATGGTAACGACAAATCCATAGTCCACTTGAAATGCATTTACCGACAAGTCGGGTCAAAAGAGCCGAAGTACACTTAGAATTCGCTTATTAGAAAAACACTTACATAAGCTGCTAAATAGAGCTAAAAACAGCTGCCGTGTGGCTCAGAAAAAGGTTAAAAATGGAATATGAAATATAGCTTTCACTTTATATATTCGACAACGTGAACAATCATTTCTCAAGGATTATGGTAAAAAAACATTTTCTCCTGAATAAAATGGACACTAATTGATAGAACTATCAAATCTACTGGAAGACGATCCACGCTTTCTTTCATCTAACTAGAATAAGTAGAGAAACCATTGCTTTCAGCTTTATAGCGATTAAACACAACACTTAAAAACAGAAAAATGACTAAAAAAGTTAAAAATCTAACAAGCCAAAAAACCATAAATGTACTGGAAGGAGAAAAAGCAAAATCAGTATGAAAAATACAAAAAAACAAAGCAAACAAACAAACGAAAAAAAAAACAACAAAAAACCGGGATCATATCAAACCAATTCACTAGGATTTTTTAGTACATTTTCTTAGCAAAAGCAAATAAAAGGAGAAGGTTTTGACTTTTGGATTAGTAAACCAAGTTAAATCTTTATTAATTTTAGCGTTAATTGTTTACAAAATCGCTAAAAATTGAAATATGTCAATTATTCAGGTAATTTCTATTTTCTATGACAAAACTATAAATGTAGAATATACAAGTAATTTAACAGAAAAAATGATTTCAGAAATGCAATAGTCTCTAAGTACGGTTCACTAATTAGTAATATCATGAACATTAATCTATTCAAATAAGCTCATATTTCCTGTATGTATTTGATTCTGATAATATTCCTATTGAGTGTTCTTTTATTACTCTGCACGATGCTGTAAATTACTCATCATCTTCATCGTCCTCACTCGATTCATCGGGAGACTGATAGGCTTCTTCTTGGAACGTTCTCAGAACACACGAAGCAGATATTAATTCTTCGTCTTCCTGGAAATAATGGGTAAAACAGTAATTTAGTAATACTTTTCTTTTAATAATAGTGCTGTCCAGTCTAGTATCTGAATATGCAACACGTAATTCCATCACTTAGACCTAATGAATCACGTACCTCTGAAATGAGATCATCACTTATCCCTTTAAGCATATCAGGTTCAGCGATAAGTGCTTCACTACGCTTGGCTGCAAAAGAATCCTGTAATGAAATAATAAATCGTTAACAATGAATCCGATGTCATTAGTAAATCAAAACGACATCTTACCGATAACCAAACGTGCTCTTTAGCTGCAGCAGTATCCATTCTTTTGCTGTAAAAATACGACAAGAGATCGGGATTACACAGAATGCAAAGAACGAGCTAGAAAATGTAAGACCAAAACTGGGACCGCAGTAAATACTTAAAGACATCGTAAAGGCTGCAATAACTTACTTAGGAAACTTGCAGATCAAGCTTTCAATAAAATCCTTTGCGTTGTCAGTAGTTGATGGAAACAGATCTTCTTCAAATTCAAACGTTCCTTTCTTAATTGCCTCTGAGACAGCATCGTCATCATTTCCAATAAATGGTAGTTCTGCCCCCACCCTATAAAACACCTTTATCAGTTTCATCGTTTTCCAGACGGAAAGTATAGAATGTAAACAGACATGGACGCAGTTGAAGACGAGATCTTCGAGGTAGCACGCACTTCACAGTTACATAAACAATCAGACAGACATAAAATTGAGCAAAGGTTTCACTTTGTTTACTTACAAAAGATATGTAGTTACACCCAAGCTCCACATGTCCGCTGACGCGTTCACGGGCTCAAATGACAGCATTTCTGGAGCTACAAAAAGTAAATAGCTCGTCAAACGATGAGAATAAGTGACCAAGCCTCTGATTTGATCGCATACCTGTGAATTCAATATTTCCCACAATTGCCCCAACTTCTCCGTTTTTGTCATGTAAACGTCGAGCACTTCCAAAGTCGATGAGTTTGACTTGTTGTTGGCTGATCATAATGTTCGCAGGCTATAAAATGCCAGATATTAGCAACAGGATCATAGAATGCAACAAGCTAGCATTATTGGCTTACCCTAATGTCCAGATGAATTACATTCTTATTATGTAAGTAATCTAAAGCGTTTAAGACGTTCTTGATCACATTAGCAACATCCTCTTCAGTAGCCTTGCGTTTCGATGCCAAATACGTCAACGCATTTGTTTTATCGAGTCTGCAATAGTCGAAGAATTGTTACATTAACAAATAAAAACACCTTCAAGAAGCATTGTGTGTATCGTCAATTGAAGCCACTTCATTATAAAATCAAGAAGACAATGAACTCAGTTAGAGAAGGTTAGAGAGCGAACAATATTCAGTATTAAATGGGGCGTGGTGCCGAATATATTCAACACAAATAGCACGTCATGTGATCATAGTAAACACTTCATTGTATCTAGTTTACAACCATCATCGTGACTTAAACAACACTTCTATCATCAACACATGCTAAATACTTACAATTCTAGTATAAGTACGATGTATTTCTGGACAATATAGCCAGAATATAGACTAACGATATTGGGGTGGCTGAGGTTTCTGTGGATGTCAAATTCTTGTGCGGTTTCTTTCTCCTCGTTATCGTCAAACTTTATAAGCTTAGCAGCGTGTGGCGCTTTGGTTTCTCTGTAAAGACATTTCTTGACAACAGCAAACTTTCCTCTAAAACACAAAATTACATGAGAATACATACACAGATGTTATTAACAATAGTCTTGTTATACCTTCCTATCTCTTCCTGGATACTGTAGTCATTGTCTGGATTTCCTGGAATCAGCGGCATATCTTCGTTGGCGTACCTTTCAATAAGCTCTACTATTTCTAAACATTCCCAATAAAAGATTAATCATTTTAATACAGCAATCATCCATTATGCTACAGACTGAAGAACCTTATAACACGTTGTTTTGCCATAGTCCAAAAAAAATTGACAATGTAGTCGTTCTTATCTTGCATGATTGACAAGAAATCGTTAGCGGTAATCAATCACGTCATTTCTGCATTAACCAATAACAGGTGCAAATCCAGTGTTCATTTTGACCAATCAGAAAAATCCGGATCGAGAACAGTAACAATGCGGTTATTGCATCATACAAGCATTCATACAAGAGCGACAACTAATAGGGCCTGATTGTCCCAATCTGGATCAACAATAGTCGTGAGGTAGTGAATATCTCAATAGTAACTATTGAAAACACTATCGTTAACGCTAATACAGCTTAGAACAATCTTGCCAAGAGGTTAACTTCCATTTTTATGATATTCAGCGCCGCAAAGGGCAATGAATTAAAAAACAGTAAGAAAAACAAAACAACAACAAACAAAACAGAATATACCACACAGGGAACCCTTTTTACACTCACAAACAATGATTGACGCAACAAAACAAAGCAAACAAYATGCATGGCAGCAGTCACGAAGTATCCAAAACGATTCAAACGGCGGTAGACTTGCGCTTAACTCATTTTTTGTATTCAAAGAATTAGTTGGAGTTGGAGAAAGAAAGCTAGGCATCACATGACGACTAAGCATTATTCCAAAATATCTTTATTTGCTCGATTGGTTTGAAATGAGAAGTGTTTTTGCGAATAATAAACCAGTCGTAACGGAAATGCCTTAGGGAACATAACGAAAATTACTAATATATACACAACGTGTTACTATCAGTAACGCCTTTCTAAAAATAACCCGATAACACAATACATTCACGTGTGAAGACTCAGTGCCTAGTACGCATAGTGTACTCCAATGCATCCGCAGTAGATTCTGAGCCCGTGCTCCTCTACCTATGCTATTTGCGTCTACGTGATTTGTCTCTGGACGACAAATGAAAAATGTAACGGTTCAAGAACGTGACGTATGCGAGAACGTCAGATTTTGTTGGTAACGCAAGGTGTTTGTAGTCATTGTGAAATCTATATAAGATGTCTTGCTTTTTAACTGACTATAGTCGATTTGTCACGTGCAAAAACGAGCCTGCATCTCATTTGCTCTTCTAAAGGTACTCAATATTATGAGAGACGTTAGTAGCTATGATGATGTTAGTTAAATGATTGTCATAGTGTTATCGAGTGAAATCAGTGCGGCATTTTACCATTATACAATTATCAAGAAGGTAGTACAGAATAAAGAGATATAAGCTTGCCATAGAGATAGACATGAATATCAGAATAGTGAAATCAAGATGGAGGAGGAAAAATAGAACGATGCTAGCAGAAAAAGAAAAAAAGAAAGCTGAAAAAGGACTAGAAAATAAAAGAATAAAGAAAAAATCGAATGGAATGACTTTCCAATAAATCATACGCTCGACGCAGCGGGATTTCCATTCTTTAGATTTGAAAGACCTTAAATTATGCAATTTATGTGACCTAGAGACGTCATGGATGAGTTTGTACGATCAAAAACAACAACATGCATTACATTGTTCACAATTTTTAACCTTATTCAGCTTTGACATTAATTGAGGACAACACCTATTATAATGTCATCCTTCTACATAACAACGAGAACATCAAGAATAAACCTATCAATCAATAAACAAATCACATGGAATTACTTAAAATACACTTAATTTTTTTTTTGATATTTTGGTTATTGAGGATTATAACAAAATCTAAATAAAAAATATTGCGTACTAGAAATCAAATATGGTTAAACTATTTACATCAGCGGACCTTTTAACGATATCAGTAAAGTCAACTATCAGTAATAACCGCGAAGTGGTCTGAAATGGCTTTCTCTTTCATGCGCGCATGCACACTATTCGCACAAACGATTCTTTCAAGGAATATTCATTGATATTGGTTATTTAACTAGTATCTAAATTAAAGATGTGCTAGGTGGCCTCTATATAACTACAAAAAAATCATTTGACAACAAAATAGGCACAATTAAGTAAATAGTTCATAGTGGGAATCCAGCAATCCAACGAGTAGCTTGCTCCAGTGAAGTTACTTTCCTGATAGATGAAAAATCACATATAAGTTTCAGTCATTTGATTGACGTGTGATGTTTGCGCATGAGTTGATTATGTTCTAACCTACTGCTAAAACTAACTTATCTGGAGAAGAGTCATGTGCCGTTAACCTAGTATTCAAAACGTATTTACTGAAAGTTATCTATTTGAAAAATTATGACCTAATTTCACGATCGAGAGCATATGGACACTAAGAAAAAAATACATTACAGTTTTATTCCTAAAAATTAAGAGCATTATTGTCGTCTTTTTGAAACCGTTATATTATTTAACGGGATAAGGACACGAACGAAAAGAATGCACGTAAGAATCGTATTGGATTTCGTCGTCAATAAAAATAATAATTACAGCATACCACCAATGCATTTAGTATAGCACTCCAAGTACGTACTTACCAACAACTAAACAAAGGGAGTGAGTACACGAACGATACGAACGATAACATAAACAAACAATATACTTATTCTGACAGACCTCGTTTCTGAGGTCGTTCTTTGGGTGGTGGCGGCCATTGAGGTAGTTTTCCTTTTGGTTGGGGACCTTTTGGAGTACGACTGGTGGATCGTGTGGACGATGGTTCTGAGGTCGATTTTTCGTTGTTGGATATTTTCGTTGAAGGAGTTGTGGATTCTTTTGACACCTTTGAAGTTGAATCTTTTGAGGCAGTTGGTTTAGATTCGACTTCTTTCTTAGATATGTCATTAGAAACTATTGTTTTTGAATCGTCCTTTGTAGATTTCGTTAAATTGTCTTTTAATGCACTTGGGTTGTTTCTGTTTGATGTGACATCATTTGACTTTGATGCAGGCGATTTTGAAGATTCAGGTTCAGGTTTAGGAACTCCGTTTGGTGTTTTATCAGGGGTGGTGGTAGAGGAAGCAGTGGAAGTTTCTTTCTTTTCAGAAGAGGATGGTTTCTTTTCAGCAGGCTTTTGTTCTGCAGCTGAGTCTGGAGACAGAAATGGTGATGATGCTGGAGCACTTTCTGGGGCTTGCACACCAGCTACATGCATGGCCTTAACACGAGCTAAAAGTCCACCTCCTCCGCCACCTCCACTTTGTTTGCTTCCTTCTTCCGTACCACGGCTTCCGAGGAGTCTGCTCAGGAAGTTGGTACTTCGGATAGCAGTCAGTGCTTTCTTCCATTTTCGTCGAGCCGTGAAAGCCTTGAGCCTATTTGTATTGATTTTACCACGCTCTCGTTCCACAGTTAGCCAGGTATGTTCTAAACATTGTTCTACAGATATTCGCTTACCAGAATTCAAAACGAGGACCTTAGATATAAACTCTTTTGCATCGTCGGAAATGTCATCGAAAACTTCGTCATCAAAGTCCCATTCAGCCGTCTGAACGTTGGCCAAGGTTTCAGCGTCGTTATCACCCATGAAAGGCGACAGTCCACTCAGTAACACATATGCTATGACTCCAACTGACCAGAGATCAGTGGCTGGAGTGATTCGATCGTAGGTAAGAACCTCTGGAGCTACAAACTCTGGTGTTCCAAACATCACTTTCAAGTTCTCTTTAGGATTGTACTTCCTTGCAAGGCCAAAGTCAATAAGCTTTATTCTTTTGCTGTTTGGACGAACTATCATAATATTTTCTGGCTTAAGATCAAGATGCAGGACATTTTTAGAGTGCATGTGTTGGATACCCTTCATGATTTGTTTCATATAATGTATAACTTCGTTCTCTGAAATAAACTCTTCTTCAACAACTTTTTCAAACAGTTCGCCGCCAGTGACAAGTTCCATTACAAGTATAAATTCAGAGCCTGTTTCAAATGCATCTGCAAGCCTGAGTAACGTTTTGTGTTGGATCAACTGCATGATCTCTACTTCGTGCTTCACATCTTCTTTTTCCTGTTCTTTAGAACACTTTATAAATTTTGCAGCAAACTCTTTTCCATCTTTCTTTCTTACGCACTTGCATACCACACCAAATCGGCCTTTGCCAAGCTCTTCTTTGACTGTATATAGATTTGTTATCTTCTCCTTTTTGATGGACGTTTCTTGTCCATTTTCCTCGTCTTCTACTTCACTGTCATCTGAGACATCAGATCCACTTGCTTCACTCCCTGATTCTCCCGAGTCAGGCTGATCTTTGATGATGAGCTGAGCTGAACACGACACCTGACCATGGGGATTGACAGCTGTCACTTTGTACTCTCCAGCATCTTTACGCCTTCCTTCAGTGATAATAAGCTTGCAGTTGTCGTTTTCATCATACAGGAACGTAAGCTGCTTACTTTCACAAAGCTTTTTCCCATCTTTGTACCATTCTACATCCGGTTCCGGGTTTCCAGTTACCTGGCATTGAAATCTGGCTGCACTGCCTTCGACGATTTCACAGTTTTTGAGAGGAAGTACAAATGATGGTGGACCTGTTGGAACTCCATCTATGCAGGAATAATATTATAAATTATTAGGTGCTAGGCATAAGACACTGATATGTTATGAGGGGAGTTCTTTTTTTAGAATCGAATCCCTTCTCAAATATTTTTAAAAGAGAGTTTTCCTTTAAAAACACCTGTCAATCAATTCCTCTATCATTAATAATGCATTAACTTGGTCTTAAATACTTAATCGGAATATAGACCACCCCAAAAAAGAATATACTTCCAGCAATTCTGACCATGATAAAAATAGACGTGAAAATTTAAAATCGACCTAAAATGGTTCTAGAAACGTCCCTTGAAATGCCAGAAATGTAAAAGATTTAAATGTGATCTTCTTATTACTAACCGAAGTTCGCTTTGAGCGATAGATCAACGTATTGATGAAATGTGATGTATGTCTAAAAACCCACAATTAATGCAATATTTATTATCACGAACAGTAAGTAAGTAGTAACCATAGGAATGCAGCTCAGTGTAACGCAATCTGTTCTCAAACGTTACACAATACTGGTGATTCTCATATTTCACACTGAGCCGAATTTAGAATTTAATTTCCTTTGTTAATCTGAAGAATAACAAGACTTGAAGTTGAAGATTCGAGGAAATTTTGCTCGATAAACAAATAAACAAGTGAGAATTTAGTTAAGGATTCGATTTGACGAAGAAATTTGCATTATTGCATTCCAAGATCAAAGGTTAATTGAGACTTCGAGGCATCTTAAAATTGTAATGTTTTGCTCCGAAAATAAAATTACACACCACTTAGACACATCAACTAATTCTGAAAATGACGCTATGAAAGTTATAGTTATAATAAGACCAGTGATCAAGGATATAAATCTCTTTGGACAATAATTGTCTCGAGTTTGCTAACTTCATCCTTCAGAAAACACACTTAAAATATGACATAATCAAAGTACACAATAAGAATTTAGCAGATAGGAAAGTACCATGAGGATGTGCTGCTAATGTCTCCTGAATAGATTCACTTTCTTAAACTTAATACCGTAAGTACTTCATCAAAACTGCCAATGTAACCCCAAAACAATTTATTAAACATATTAGTTGAAAGAAGCTTTCGATTCTCGCAACGAACTTGGCTAATATTGTAATTTGTGCAAATTTATAAACTATATCAATGCGTGGAAGAGGGAGAATCTCTGTTTCGCATTTCGGGAGAACAGATGCCAGCTTCTTCATGCTGGACAGACACAAGATAAGGTATCATCGATTAACATACTAACCATCTGAGCTTCCCCTGGATTGACTAGAGAAACGGCTCCCTTTATACATTCTTTACTTGTTAAAGATGAAGTTAAATCGAATAATGTAGACGTGACTATAATCTGGCGTTTCCAATGGATCTCAATCCAGGTCGACTCGCTACCAAACTCTCCGGAGAGCCAAAGCGGTAAGCCAAAAACGGAAACACTGTTGATTAGAGGCGTAGTACACGATGCGACCTCCAAGGTGAAATATTCAAGACACGTAAATAAGCCGACGTAGTAGCCTTCTGGTTTTTCAGTGCGTAAATGATTGCTTTCTAAATGGATTTACAATAATCTTAGAACTCCAGGGCAACGAAGCAGAAGCAGCAATCTCACAGTTGAGAGACACCAGTTACGGTCTAAGTGATGTAAAGTCAAAATCCATTGATAGACAGCTAGCGGGTCATGAAGCCGTTTCGTGACACATACCAATCAATTGAGCAAGGTTTCAGTAATTACAACCTTAGGACCATGCACCATTCAACAGTTGGCCTGATAAGGAGTGCCTTTGCAATCATAAAATTCTTAACAAGCAGAGATCGACAAAGACGATGCAAGTGAAGAAAAAAAGGAAACCCAACAGTACCCTCAACTAAGTCACACACCTCTTGACTTGGTTATGTTTTAAGACAGAGCTGAAGAAATGGGTGACGAGCTGGACTAATCAGCTTCCTAATCAGTCTCCTTAGGTTCCAAAGTCTAGAGTTTAGAATTAAAACAAAGTACTGTCTGTTCAGGTGAAGATAGACAATCAACACGAAACCCAATATCCCGATTGACTTGTAATACAGTCTGTAAAATGATTGTGTGCAGAGGTTAGACCATGCGGAAAACTAAACATTCCTGAAGGTTTTGAAAAGCAATGCTTTTTGAGATGTGTTTTTAATAACAACACTAGTGAACATTCACACGATGTGAAAAATCAAAACCAAGTAGTTTTTACTTGTCATTCAAGTTGTTGAAGTAAATTGAAGATGGTAGGGTATAGAGTAATGAGCTCAATGAACAGCAGGCATCGAGACTCCTCTGTATGTCATCATTCTCTGTCTCGGTGAGTAAATTCATGATTACTCATTCTTCTCAACAAATAAAACATCTGTCAAACAAATGTCGTCTCATGAAACGCAAAAAAATAAATCACCAACTCAAAACAGCAGCAATTTGACATGAATATTCACAACATACAAAACCCCTAAACCCACCGACATTTGAAATTGTCCTCAAGCGGCATGTTTCAAAAGAACAGTTTGTGGTTAACTCACAATGAATTCACCGCAGTTACTACTTTGACGTCACAAAAAAGTATATTTTGGGAAGAGCATGTTTTTTTTTCGTATCACTGCATTGGCTGCATCTATACTCAGTGTTGTCGAATAGGATTCAGTGATATTGGTAAATGAATTCAATAAGTACTCTTCATGTAACGAGATTCCTGTCAAGACGTCATTATTGAAAAACACACATAACTGGAAAAATGAAATCCATTGATCTTAAGCATTTATCAATTTAGAACTCCCCTCAATCCGTATACCAAAGCACCTGCAAAGAGATCGTGATGAGGTGCATAGTGGAGTGCTATACTTACGATTTGGTCCGCGTCTCCCTGTCAGCGTCGGGCTTCTTCGCCCCGTCAATGACACACGAGTGGAAGGGCGTGGCTTTAGCCCTTCTGTTTGTGCTCCTGGTAGTTTACCTGTGACTTTTCCAAGAAGCCCACCTCCTCCTGGTGCACCACCTCCACCGCCTATCCCAAGTGATCCCAAGCGACTCAAAGCTCGAAGTGCGTTGGACGTTTTCTATATGTATAAAAAAGAAATCATGACACGGACAAAATTTCGTTTCGATATAGTTAGATAATGTTGTTAAGCTCAAGAAATATTCAAAAAAAGGGGGATGATGTTTTCGTTTTGTTTGTTATGACTAAAAAGTCATTTTTACAACATATTTTTACACGATATCCGATGTAGTGTTCTATGGAAAACACTTGTTGCCACCTGCTTTCATTGAGGGTTCATGAGAATTCCATTTGACCAGATTACCTGCCAACGACGTCGTGCAAGGAACTTCTTCAAATTATCTGTACTCAGCTTCTTGGCCTCCATCGTTTTTCCTTTCTGTTTACATAAAAAATGCAAAAAATTCATTAATGTAAACTGAATCTCAAGAATCGTTTTTCAGACAGCCATCTTTACCTTCAGCCATTCATGGTCTAGGCACTGGTAAACATCATTACGTTTTCTGAAAACAAAAACAGAAGCATTAGTGACTATGACTACAGTGACAAAGAAGAAGTAGGGTAGGTACTAGACAGGTGAGTAGGAAGTCAGGAGGTAGGGGAGGTAGCCATTGATAACAGACAGGTAGGTAAGTCCATATATAACTGAAAGGTCAGATTTTTGAGAGGGCAGATTTTAGAAATTTCGTTGTGTTTTGCAACAAGAAGAAAGACATTTGACAAAAAAGAAAAAGTAAAACATACGAGTGATCTCTGAGGAGAAGTTCCTCGATGAACTTCTTTGAATGATCAGATACCACATCAAAGGCCTCGTCTTCGAAATCCCATTCGGCTGTTGATACATTCATGATGGTTTCATTGTCATCGTCGCCCATGAACGGTGATAACCCACTCAGCCTACAGAACAATATAACGTTAGTTAGACTCAAAACCTCGGCGAGATTATGTCATAAGTAAACATAACTGACTGAAAGACGCAAGAGAGATGCTGCATTGTTCATAACTGACTTCTTTGAAACCGGACCGAGAATTTCATATTTAGATTGTTACAAAAGAATTGCTAGCATTATCACCGTCCAGCTCTTCTCGGTCTTATGCAAAGGCCTGGCTACAAGGCATGGAGATAATGCATTATAGAAATAAGAGGTATGAGAGGTACTTACAGTACATAGGCAATGACACCAACACTCCTGTTGAATAAGAAATAATTCCATGAATTATCAATGTTCATGATAATTGATGTGGCTACGTTTGATAGAGCGGATTTCGTATGAGTGGGAAACGGACGGTACTGTACTGTGACCGTAATCGTACTGTAACCAAATTTTAGTGCCCCATTGGTTCACCAAAATTGTACAGGCCAGTTCCGGTAACTGTGCGGTAATCGTGCGGTAACGGTGTCCCACTCATACGAAATCCGCTCTATACAGTCATCGACCATAACTTACCACATGTCACTTGAGATATGAATTGGTTCATAAGTGATAACTTCTGGTGCTGTAAATAGAATATAAAATCCATTATAATAAGGTGCATGTATAGAGGGTGGTCACAAGGTGATCGTGACTTCTTCCTTTCAAATTCAAATAGACGCTCTTAGAGCGTGAAGTCGGGCTAGCTATTTTTGAAAATTGAGAAAGACAGGATATTACATGGATGCGCGTATAGGCGAACGAGTGAAAGATTTTAAACACGATGAGATTATGATGTAATATTTTGCCTATCTAAACGCGACATATTATACAGATAAATAGATTGACGAAAAGTTAAAACTAAAGTCGGGCCGCCTACGGCTAGCCCGGCTAAAAATGTCAAAAAATAGACATTTGACCATTGCTCCAACGTAAGAAAAAACTCGTTTTCTCATTATGATGCCATGTGATGTCAAAATGTTTTTTTTGGACCCTCCCCCTCCCTATCCCCGCTCATTAACGTGTCACGATTACATGTGAGTGTCGTCTAAAGTCCATACACCCTATGTATTTCTTGTTACTTACAGTTCTTAAAGAATCGTTATTAAAGGTTATATGGTCACCGTATTGATAAAAGGCCTAATGACAACATAAACTACAATTTCGTACCAACAAATTCTGGTGTCCCACAAGCAAGTTTCAGCTCTTTGCCCTTCTCGATAATGTGTGCCATACCAAAATCAATAAGTTTCAAGTCTTCTTTTCCGTCGGGTCTTATAACACACAAAACATTCTCAGGCTGCAAAGAAACAAATACCAATGACTAAATGATCAACAAATACGTTCCATATTCTCATCGTTTACCTTTAAATCTAGATGGACCATACTTTTCCTGTGCATGTGTTCAACCCCTTGCAGAATCTGACGCATGTAGCGAATAACCTCTTTTTCTGTTAGATTGTCGTCTTGGCAGATCTTCTCAAACAATTCTCCACCCGAAACTCTGAACCGGAACAAAGGACGTTTAAAAAAATACACAATACACAAAATACACTCGTGTTTTGTAAAAATAAAAAGACAAAAAGAAGGAAAGGAAAAGGAAAAAAAAGAAGACGAAGAAAAAAAAGGGTTTTGAAAACACGTCTTTTGGACATCAAATTCCTTAAGTGCCTTTTCACGTGACCAGTTAAACAATACAAAGCCGTAAGAACTATATATGGAGAGAATAACTTCCAGTGAATATAGAGGAAAAACTACATCCAGCGTGATGAAATCTTAATATAACTTAAGGACTTACAATTCCATAATGACAATCATTTCACCAGGTCGTTCGTAAGCATCAGCCAAGTAAATCAGCCTTTTGCTGTGTAGATGATTCATCATTTCGAGCTCACCCAAAACCTCTTTCTTAGATTCGGCAGACGTCTTGATGAACTTTGCCGCGAGGATTTCTCCAGTTTCCTTGTGCTTTACTTTCTTAACAACACCGAATTTTCCCCTGCGAAAAAAAGGTGCATTGTTTGGAGGAAGAAACTATTAAGTGAAGCAAAAATAATCACTTACTTTCCTAACTCTTGTAACGAGTCATACTTCTGTTCAAACTTCTTATCTGTCGCGAGGTACACTTTGTCTTTTTTAGGAAGATCAAATGTTTTTGGATCGACGTCTTCGTCATCTATATTTAATGAAAACTTAATTTAATGGCTAGTAGTGGGAGTGTGAAATCCCGCAAATATCAGTCTTTCCAAATTTATTAGTACATAATGAAAAACACGAATGCTGCTCATTTTCACATGCGCAGACAATGTTGTGTTCTTTGAAGTCTAAATCTACATTAATTCTATAAGATAATATTTCGGTTTAATCAGCCAGATGCTGCGTCTTCAGGAACGGCGCGTGTGATAAGCTGATATCTGCAAATCCGTGCATTAAGCCGATAAGTGGGAGGAACAAAAGTACAATTACGTCCGTGAGGTTGATAATGATGTTTTTGCATGCATATAAGTACAGAATGGAAGGCTATCAGTAATAATGAATGATAATGACATATATGAACGAGTGTCACCTTCATCTTCGATAATGAGTTTGATCAAACATGTGTCCTGCCCACCATCATTCGCTACAACACACGAGTAGTCATCCTCGTCTCGGAAGTGAACTTTTGTGATTGTCAACGTAGAGCGATCATCCTGTGTCTCAATTTGAATACGACTGTTGTTCTGTACGAGTAGACTGCCTCGATACCATGAAGCAGTAGGTACCGGGTTACCCGAAAATAAACACTCAATAACTGCCTTACCACCAATGTCTGCTGTTACTGAGTCCGCTTTCTGCTCAACCTTGGCAGGAGCTGTAAGAAAAATAAAAACGTTTATTAAAGACACCGACTTTTAGATTACCCCCTCCTAATGAGACGATACGATACATTTACATCGGGAGATAATGTTCCCAAGACGTGCATCAGTATAATAATACTCTCAAATTGTACTGCACCAACACTAGTTTTTCGTTCTTCATGAGGTTATCATAAATTGGCCGAAATATAAGTTTGATTTCTCATTAAAAACATGCGTGTTTTATTTGATTAAGAAAAACCTCGGAAGTACTGAATATCATATATCAGTTATTCATATCTTCTATATCTGAACATCACACATATTGCCTCGTTTTAACAGAATTCGCACAACATCATCTTCATTTTATTTGAACAACTACATGAATGAAGTTGCCAGTAACATTTGGGTTTAAAATACGAGAAGGTCGTAGAAAATCAGAAATTAATATTATCGTTTGTTTTTTCTCGAGAAGAAGTCATAAGGAGACGTAAGTGAAGATAATGAGATAATATGATGGACTCATCAGCCCCTGGTGGCAATGTCTGGCCATTTAAGTACCTAGTACTCCAGACACTCAGTAAAAAAGAGCGCAAAATGTCAAAAACCGTGCAAAAAATTCCCATTTTGCTAATATAAAACGTTATCATGTTGATAATTAGCAACATATATTGTCGGTATTACATATGGAACACACAAACTGTACAGCAGACTCGAACGCTATCAGGTATAGATTATTTATAGCACAGAACGTAAGTACGCTTGTTTTGTAGTACGTCATGTCATTTCCGTTGTCTAGATAAACATTCAATGAAATTCGTCACGTGATTCTTTGTTTAGTGATTGTAAGCCCTAAAAACATTGAGGTTTAACCAGCATGGATCCTTACAACATCAACGTACGCTTTTAACAATTAAAACATATTCCCTTAACTGTATTACCTCATTAACGGTATATTGATTACAAGCGAGTATTTAATGACCATTATGGATGGTCTATACACTTGTCTAGTGACGGCATCCAACATTTTTCTGTTGGTCATACCTGTCTTACCATTAGAGCCAAAACATCAGTTATATAACTGAATAATCTATCTGAAATACATAATATCAATATTGTGATAAACACATCTATCAAATGTTATTTAGTACTAATATTTAAAATATTAAAAAGCCCCGATAAATGGCGAGAATTGAGGACATAAAAGAAAGAGGAGGGGAAACGTGACATAGGATAATTGAGAGACAATTGCCTAAAACACTATATGAAAACAAAGTACGAAAATATTCACATATATATACAACTGTGTACAAAGTTTGCTTTAAAGTATATTAGATTTTAACCTCTTTCAAGGTGTTTTTGAATTCATTCACAGTTTATCAAGTAGAGTGTCCTAAACAGCTATCATTCGATAGCGCAATGCCTATTCCAGTCTATTTTCGGTTGTCCTAATTAGCCTTCGTTAACGAAATGAATGTAGAAACCTGTTGAACGCCTTTTCGTCGCAAAGATCATCCAACGCAAAAACAAAAACATCACTACTAACAAGCGATAAAACTAAATTTATGTCGAAAATTTGATGTTAGATTAACTCCTCTCAAGTGCTTATTTCTATGTACATTTCACCTAAACAGCACATCAAAACAACAGAAAACTGCCAACTGAAAAAATGCTAGATTCGTTATTGGCCAAAAACCTTCCCTGCCCTTGAACATCTGCGGTCGATTTTAAAGGAACTATTTCAAAATGACAAGGATACGTACAAGATATTTGGATGTCTGGTTTGGTTTAACCGTTTCAAAATACTTGCATATATTTGTAAATGCACAAAATGTAATTGGTCTCTACTTACAGTCTGGCATGTTGTTAAATTCCCAAAAAAGGTCTCCAATGAAATTAAAAACCGCTAATAGTGAGCTAGAGACCGTGAAATCCGAGTTACTGAATACACCACGCCTGACTTCGAAATCCGCTAGTACAGTATGTTTTTAACACAGCCTCGTTTTAATGTAATGTCACGCAATATATAAATGAACAACGATTGCGTTATGCATTGAGATACTTTCGATAAACCAGCTTAGAAGGAATGATTTATAATTTGTAGACAGGTTATATACGACATATGCAGATTTTTGGAAAAGTATTTCATAAGACATTTCTCGATGCAGTCATTTAGAGGTTCATTACCATGACAATGGAGATACATGTACACATACTCGACAATGTTCAGTCGGTATATCTTACCAATGCATCGTTAAGAATATCACACAGAGAAATGACATGTCATAAACATATATCATCATATTCAAGTCATGCAGTTTAAACCAAATTGAGTACAACAGAAATGTCTTTTGGTACTTGATAAACTCTGATCTTACCGTCTACTGTCAGCTCTGCCTCAGAGTCACGTGATCCAATAGGATTTGATGCTTTGCAAGTATATTCTCCCTCATCTTCTATAACACACTTGCTGATGCACAGTGCGTACACATCAGGCTCTTCAAATACAAACTTGAATCTGTTTCCTTCGATGATTTTGTCTCCATCGACAAACCATTCTACACAAGGCGGTGGTTGTGCAGAGATGCGACATTCTAGTCTCACCGGGCTTTCCACATTAACATGGATATCTTGAAGTTCTTGAAGAAACTTAGGTTCAACTGCAAAACATGGTTAAAGATCAGTCCTAGTTGCTTTAGTTAACAAAAACATTCATTAATTGTTAAATTATAAGTTTATGAGTAGCTTCATTAGGTTTTAGTCAAGTTTTGACCTATCAAATAACCTATTAGTAATTGTAAATCAGCATTGTTCACTTAAGGTTTTGCTATGTATCATTCATCAAGATTAACTACAAAATCAGCGATTGAATGCTGTCCGATAGTATCTATACTAATTACATACCAGGATCGCGTTCGCCATTCACGGCCAAAAATGTTCCTAAATGACACTCTGAAGAACTAGTGGATGTGTTATGTGAACGTTTAGCCATGTTCAACGATTCATGAGAACGTATGAAAGTAAACAAAAGTGAAATAACAAAACTAACGATGGATTTTGAAAGTACAGATATGCGTACGATGTTCTTGTTATGAAATGGTAATCAATGCATGCATATATAACACACCCTTCTTTTGGAATTTTATAATCCCTGGTGTTAAAAAATATTGTTAAATGGACGAATGAACTTAAGAAGAATATTACAATAGGCAACGGTTGATAAATGGAGCGTAACTCTATTACAATAGTTGGATTAGCACTACTCGTTATCATAATATATAATCCTACATTATGTAATACTGCTCCTTATGATATTTAACGCTCAATATGGCCGTTTTGACCCGCTTATAAACCTTTTGACTAGATCATGCAAGGGGTTAACGAACTCTGAGAAAAAAAGCCTACAAAACTTAAGTGTTGTGGCGTTAGATCAATAACATTAACAAACATCAGTATATAATTAACTTTATAACCTACATAATGTCAATATTAGCTCATGACATATTAAATTCAAAATGTTATAATGAGAGATGACGTCAAAACATGCATCTAATCAATTAGTTTAACACGGTAAAGAATGCCCTAAGCAAAGACAATAAATTTTTTAAGCAACGCATATTTCATATAATTACAGTCTTTCAGAATCCTGTTTTTCTTCTTAACCGATGTAAACCGGATCAGACAAGGACGTCAACGAATAAAAGTAATTAAATTAATGAAAACTGCAAACAAATCCATACCGAGGACCATTTGACTCAATGTGGATAAATATTGATTTTTGCGAAACACTCAAATCTCATTAACACTGAACAAGGTTGGAGTAAAATAAACTTTGATAAAAGACATTTAACCCTTGAAGCACGTCAAATGCTCAAATAAAACAAAACAATTTAATTAGGGATAGACCTCCCTCGAATTCGCTTGACTGGATTCCAAATCGAGGCTGGAGCAGGTAGGTTACAGTTGACACCTAAGCCTCGACTTGAAACTATTTCGTGATCAATCACGCTATCTTATGAGACCTGTTTCTCCGTTTTTATTCCTTACTACGAGATTCTTATAAGGATTCTAACTCTAATAAGTACTTTTTTTCTTTTTTTGATTCAAGGCTATTTCTTGTTTTTATTCCAACGAAAGACTATCGTCCGAAACCAGTTTCCAACCTATTCTTATTATATTGAAAGTATGTCGTATCAGGTAAAGATGTTTTTTTCATAATCACTTAGTTACTGGTTATCAGTATTATAAGAAGTTAACATTAAATGACTGAAATTTTTCGAATTAAATGAAAACGTGTTAAAGAGATTATATGAATGACTGCATGTCTGACCAATTATAAAGTGATTAAAGCCTTTATGAAGCAAAAACAACGATCTGTTTCTTTTAATAATAGAACGTGTGCATACGTTTGGATAATAAACATCTCACATCAGTCATCTTGCTTCTTTATTTTCAATAATGCCATGCTTTGATCGGACTATGAGCATTTCTACGACTGTTTCTATAAATAACTAGCAAGGTCACGTGGTCGGAGTATTACTATTACCAGTTCATTTAAAAATGTCCTATAATGGCAATTCAAATATTTCTAAGGGATTATTTTAATCTAATAATAGCAATTCATAAACTAATTTATTCCTAAACAATAATTACCATAAAATAATCTTGAGACGATTCATTGAAGCCCTCGAGGCAGAGAGGACAACAACAGAAAGTTCCAAAACAATCTATTTTTTCATACTTATTACTTTTAAAAATGTATATATTATTCCTGATAAGTTCGTAGGTTTTGTTGCCGAGGCAGAAAGGCAACAACAAAATCCACTTGACGGGTTTCTTGACATTTCTCGATAGCATTTTTTACTAACTACATAATTATCTTACTGTAGTTCATTTAATTAGAATAAGTAGTATCTAAATCTATAACTCTTGTTTATTGTGCAAATTCTTTCTCTTTATTGGTGCATTTGATTTTAATCTTGTGCAAAACCTGTATATACTGCTACGTACATTCTTCGGTTTCAGCGAGTTTCTTCAGCTCAGGTTCGGATGCTTCTGATAGGTTATCCGTGGAGCGACGCAGAGTTAGCTGTTGGTTCTCGTCATCACCAACAAGCCATGAAGCTGGTACCCAACCCTCTTTGACATTCTTGTCATCGCCTACTGTCTGGACGAAGAAGAGATCTTTTCCTGAACGAAGAACACGAACAGGTTCTCCACGTCCAATGACAACCTCATTGGTTTCTCGTTCAATGGTGTCCTCATTAATGTGATAGGTTCCTCCAAGTTCAACGTTCTACAAGACAAACGGTTGTGATTGAACAACATTTGTAGGGAGTTGGTAAAAACATCTGTTAAGACGCACTATTCTCCCATTGTGAATCTATAGGCGTAATACTTTTAATGTTTTCGCAAGAACAGCGCAAGCGCATTGATTGCATTTTAATATTTTGATTAATATCAAGGCATCGTCGGAAATGCCCTAATAAAAAGCCAAAGTAATCGAAGTCACTCAGACCACAGACTACCATTCATCAACAAATATCAGATATATTCCACTACTGACTCGATTCTACAATTACGAGCCTTACCATTGCTGCAGGAGGCACAGGCGAGTCAGGAGGCGTGATAGCAACATACTGCTTCTCAACCTCTGCAACAATGTCAAGCGCAGACGAACTGGTTACAGTCTCTTTGAAAGCCATCACTAGAGGTTCAGGTTGTTGATTGCGTTTTAATTCAAGTGGTTTTCTCTTTGTTGTTTTAATGATCGTTTCTATAGAGGAAGAATTGATCAAATTAATTCAAAAATTTTGACGTTAATTTATTTTTGATGTTGTTTAGTTAATTTTGAGATGATATCATGAAATCGACAAAAGGTTTACCATCTTCAAGCTTCAACAGTCTTTTGAGATCTCTGATCCAGGCCTGTTTTGACCATTCAGATTTAGTCTACAAGCATTAAGTACACAATATATATCAGTTCTAAAGTCCAAGGGTAAAGACTCTGTCAGCTTGTCATTCAAACTGAAAGACTTGACTTTTACCTTAAATGTATGTAAGACAAGAGCGTTAGCCATGGAGCTTCCAACCCACACCATGAAATGATTGGGTTCACCCTCAACGTCTTCCTTCAAGCCGACGTTGGCAGTCGAAAGCTACAAAGAGAAGGAATAACGGTTTCAATATCTGTGTATTTAAATGGAACATGTTCTTCAGTATGCAAAGGCTCGCTCAATATCGATGGAGCACTAAGCGAATAAGACAAATGGGAACAGACAGCATATATCTAAGATTATTCACCTTAAGTACATTCTTGCATTGGTATTTCTTTCCTTCATCTTTTTTCTTGGTGTTAACTAATGCTTTCTCAAAGAGAAACAGGGATCTCTCTTTGCCTTTTCCACGCGCGCGCTCCTCCCAGAAATGTACAGTTTCCTAACAACAACGCCCACATTAGGAACAATTTCAAGGAAAAATACATCGAAAAACAATGAAAACTATTAATAATACCTGTCTGATCAGTTTACCGAGATCTTTTAGTGGAATTTCTCCCTGAAATGTAGAATAATATTTATTTTAAAACAACAAAGTTAATGATGATTGACCGCGTTATGGAGTCATGGTGTTCTCATTGATACATACTGATTATGAAGATTACATAAGGCTTTTTATTACTGTTCTCGTGGGTCCACTGGTGTATGAACATTTTATGACTCAAAGAGTGTGTCAATAAGAGGAAATACAACTAAAAACTGTGCGCAATTTGTTAAAGTGATTGCTTTGATTGTATATAGCGTATAATACCGAATTTAGCCTTAGTTTATACATTGTACTTACATTATAATGTTCTATGGTGTGGAACTTGTGCATTCTCTCATTTGCTTCACATGGGATGTTAGATACCATCTTAAGAGTTGACTGTTAAATAGTACACAGGTTAAATTAATGTGTCATCTATCAAACTGGACAATTGTGTAGTAAGGAATACTCACTTCAAACACTTTGTGATCGAGTTTTGCTCTGACGGTGTACATTAGAAGCAACTGCAAATAAAATCACGCAATATAGCAATGGTGTTAGGTATTACTAACTCTACTCACTAACTATGACTTAATTCAAACAGTTCATGAAATTATTGTCAGAAATGAATATTATCGCGCAAGTATTTATTCAATTTCATCCCAAACGCTAAACGAGCATTGACAAGTCAGTAAAGTTTGGTGTTACCAACACTATCGATATAAAAACTAGATAACTGATTATCCCACAATCCATAGCAACTCTTCTCGTAGGAATAAAACCAACTATCGAGATATTTACCCTTAGGAGACGCTGGTAGTCAGTCAGTCTTTGAGCCGGTTTTAAGAAATAATCAGATATGAAATATTTGTCCTCGATGTCTTCTTTGAATTCCTTGATAAAAAGACAAAATGGTAAGACGCAAGGAAGGATACGATGTATTTCTTTCTAGATTTATACCTGCCAAAACTCTGCGACTTCTTCATCCTCTAGAATCTCGCTGGCTCCAGGTCGAGATTGTAAGAAATCTATGTACATAGTCAACTTTGATTGCTGGAAAAAATAATGACACGATTAAACATTTCGAGAAAAGAGTTTCAGCATCGTTTATTCGAAGCTTTCAGACGTCGTCCTGTTAATGACTTTGTCTAGTGTTGATTCAACATTAATATCACAACCAATATACACAATGGTGTCAAACTTTATTTTTCCAGTAATTATAGTGAAGCCATACCAAATGTCTGGTCTCATGGGCATTTACTTACGTATTTTTCAAACACTCTAGAGACTTCGTCAGGTTTATTTACACAGGCTTCAAGTTCTGGTAAGAATTCACTAAAGAAACAAAATATGAATTCATTGATAGAACTAGTCATTCAGTCTGCAAGCGATTGTCAAAGCTTACTTTGAATGGAAGTCGTAGATTTCTTTAAGGTTTGAAAAGAATGCTTCCTTCTTATTGGCAAGTTTTTCTGGAACGTCATCAGCCTCTAGTTCCGCCAAGTGGTTCTATATAGCAAAGAAAACTGACTTAAATACACAATAATGTCTAGATATCTGGATAATTAGTACTCACCTCAGCTACAAATCTGAGATCATTCACATACTGTCTCTCAGTTTCAATTAACTCGTTAACGATGGATCTGAATTGACAAACATAAACAACTGATTGTTTTGGACAATGGAAAACATAAGTAACTCGTTATACTGATCGTCAGTTTGCTACTGTTGTTGTTGTTGTTGCTGTTGTTACCGTGGTGCATGAACGATGAATGAAATTTTCATGGTTGTGGTTGATGTCTTCTTGTACATGTAATGCCAGTTTGTTCTATGCTTTTACTTATAACTAAAACATTCAGTCCAAAATTTCGACGCAATTGCATAACAAATGATGATATATCATTGATATCTTTGCTCTAAACTCACATTCTTCGAGCAAGTGCTTCATCTTTTCCAGAAGTCGGAATCTGAAGCTGCGAGGATTCAAAGAAGACGCCAGGTGCCCATCCTACTTCCCCCGTACTCTCTAAAGACACAAGCCACTTGTTCGAGTCATGATTATCTAATACTTTCACAGCATCACCCTCTTGTAACGAAACGTCACCAGGAGATTCGGGAGTGTAGTTTGTAACACATATAAACCGCTGTTCTTGATCCTGTCAAGAAAGGATACAGTTAGATATGAGATTTAGACTATTTTACTTGTAAATTATTGTACTTACCGATTGTCCCAGTGGTTCTTGGTCATCAGGTCTAAAAAAGAAAACATCTCAATGACAATTCAATGAGAGGTTAACAAACAAAGACAAATGAAAGAAGGATGGAAGAGAGGAAGGGGAAGAAGGGAAGAAAAAATGGACAGAAGAGAAACATTGTTTAAGAATGGAAGCACTAGAATGAAAAAAAGGAAAGAGAACAAACACGAGATAACTTACGCAGAGCTGTCCTTTTCCAATACAGAAGCTTTCACGAAACCTATTTCGGCACCTCTTGAAACTCGTCTGACCAACCAGAATTCAGGGCGACTAGTGTCCAGGACTTCTACTTTATCTCCTTTTTCCAAAAACTTCTTTCCAGTCTCTTCCGATTTGAAATCATCTGTCGCTATATACAGCTGGAGCTTAAAAACCTACAGGAACAGAATTGAAACCAACACATTTGTCAGTGTCTATCATGAAATGACAGTATCTATCAAAAATCTATCAAGAAGTGCTCTTTTAGTTTACAAAATGATATTTACATCTTCTATTCTTGCGAGACCAGAACTTTTTCTTGCAGGTTTCGATGTTCCAGCGCTTGGCTTGGACCCAGGTTCTACAGGAAGAAAAACAGAATATCAATATCTGAGTCAATTGAAGTTTTGACGTTTCTTCCAAGTTTTTACCTTCTACAAATAGATTCCCAGTTGTTGAATCTTGACCGGCTGAGTTTTTCGCTACACATTTGTAAATTCCGGAATCTTTGAACTGTCCTTCTGTTATCAACAATGAGTGGAGATCTCCTTCTTGCAAGACTTTCATATGTGGGAAATTGGTTGGGGTTATTTCTTGGTCGTCTTTATGCCATGTTACTGTGGGAGTTGGGTTACCAATAACACGTGCGTCAAAACGGGCCGCGTTACCGTTTTCAATGGAGCGATCTTTTAATAAAGCAGTGAAGACCGGAGCCTCGTCCTTAAGTTGAGGTTTTGGTAGTGTCTTTACTTCTTGCTTTGGCACATCTTCTTCTGATTCCAGATCTGAGTTAGTAAAATATAATAATTACAATGAATACAGTTTGAATATGTGAATACATGACGAAACAGCACTCACCTTCTACTAACAGTTCAGCTTGACATGAAATCGAGCCACCAGCATTAGAAGCAACAATTCTGTAATCGCCTTCATCATCTAGACAAGCTTTTTTGATCAATAAAGAATACAATCCAGTATCAGGATCACCAACAAAGGTAATTCGAGAACTTTCTTCAAGATCTTTGCCATCTTTAGACCACGTTATTTTTGGTTCCGGTTTTCCAGCTATTTTCACGTCGAAGTGAATAGTGTCACCAACTAGTACTTCGCGTTCTTTGAGTTCTTGTTGGAATTCAGGCGCACAGGTACTGTCTCGTGACCGCCTTCTTGCATTTGGAAACTCACTTTCGTCGGCTGAGGATATTTCCGAAGCAGTATCTGTTTCCACTGTAAAACAACATGAAACAGTCGTTCTAAGCTAAATAGCGCTCATTTATGTACTTGTAACGTTAGTTGAAAAATGGCAAAATAATAATGAATGCACTAAAGGATGCAATACTTACAATCAACTAGTATTTCTGCAGAACACGATGCGATTCCGTTGTCATTTAACAATACACATTTGAAAATTCCTTCATCTTCAATGACAAAATTTGAGATCTTAAGCGTATAGCTGCTTCCATCTGAGGTAGGAAGATATCGTGGTTGTGATCGAATTAGTTCATTGTCTTTAAACCATTCAACCTTCTTTACGTTTTCTGGTCCTGATTTCACTTCTAATAATACATCATCCCCTTCAAAGACGTCCAAGTCTCGCAAAGGCGTCACAATGGTGGGTTTATCTCCAGCCAGAMGCTTTAATCTGCTTGATTTGGATTTTGGAGCCTCAGTGTCAGATGCACCTGCTCCATCAGCGGAATCCATTGCTAAATCAAGACATGATCATAAATAGATTATTAGATTAGGTTGTTTTGGTCCAGGGTAATTTCTATCTGTTGGTATTATAGCTTAGCTTTATGATCAATTCAATATATAGCTTTCGAAGTTTAAAGTTTTGTTGAGAAAAAAAGGAACATTCCCATTCGTTCATTTCTGTCAACTTACGTTCTACGGTTAGGAGCACTTCGCAGTCTGTGGTCCCTGCTTTGTTGGATATTACACACATGTAAAGACCTTCATCTCTTTTCTCCACTGGTGTTATTTTTAATGTACATTGTTCCCCATCGGACGACATCTTAATTCTGTTGCCGTATTTGATAGTTTGTTGGTCTTTAAACCATCTAATGGACAAAGGCTGACTGCCAACGGCTTTGATTTTAAAGATAGCTGTGCCACCTTCTTGGACAACTTGGGACTCACACTGGGTGACAAACTCTGGAGCAACGTGCGATAATCGTCTAAAACAATGAAATGTGTTAATAATGTCAACCTAAGTAGTTTGCAAATCTACGTCATGTGTACTAGTGGATGATGTTGGAGGAAAATCAACTGTTATATCAGGTACACGGAATTTTACCTTGAATCAAATTGTGGAACTTTCACACGCTCTATAAAAAATTGAAAGAAAAACAATAATATTATCCATAAGATTTAGACATAGCTGATTAAGTTATCTATTTTCTTCATTGTTTTCAGACTACCAGTATGTTTTTTGATCTAACCTTCTATGAGAACTTCGCAATCAGAAGAAGTTGTCCCTGATGAATTACTGGCAACCACCTTATAAACGGCTTCATCCTTGATAGTCACACCAAAGATGGTCAAGCAATGCAGATTACCAGCAGATATGATCGTTATACGATGATCTTCCTTTAGCTTTTTATCATCTCTGAACCACGAAACTTCAGCCTTGCACTCAGGTGGTATTTTCACATCAAGGCTAAGGTTTTCGTTTTCTTTGACTTGCTTGTCGACCAGCTCAGACAGGAAGGTTGGTTTAGGAAGAGATTCTTTAGGTACAGTCTTTGAGGCTTGAGGAGTAGATTTTTCTGCAGGTTTAGGAGCTTCTGGTTCTTTAGGCCTTAGTTGTAAAGTTTCTGAAGATTCTCTGTTGAGTGAAAATAATACGGGATTTTAGATAGGTATAAATATTTAGAAAACATCGATCTATAAACATACTTTTTCGACGATGTGTCTTCAATGGATTCTGTTTCTGATTCTTCATCTGGGACTTTGAAAAAGAAAAAGCGAAGGTCACGAATAAAGTCCAACAACCAACTACTTGAATGTCAGGAACATTATAGATTCTGAAAAACCTACCCTCCACTATCAGCTCAGCTTCGCAGACGACTGTTCCTTCGTCATTCTCAGCAACACATTTATAAATACCAGCATCTTCACGATCAACATCACTAATGACAAGAGCACAATCGCCTTCTTCGCTTTCTTCGATTCTAAACACTTCATTTTCTTCAATCATTTTACCACCCGTAAACCAATCAATGAACGGTTCGGGATACCCGCTGACCTTGACATCAAATCGAGCACGACCCCCTTCCTTCACAGTGCAGTTCTCTGCTTCTTTCACAAAGAAAGGTTTAGCATCTTTAGAACTCGGCTCTGGTTGTGTCTCGGGTTCTTGTGCAATCTCTGCAACCGTCTCGGGTTCTGTTACTTCCTCCGTAACCGGTGGGATTGACTCTACTTCAGGCTGAGATTGAACAACTATCTCAGGTTCTGGGATTATTGGTTTAGATGTCACTATAGAAAACAAAATGTAAATATGTGATTCTATATTCAACCGTTATCCCTCAATTGACTATTTTTATACGCTGTAATATACTGAATTGTTTTTCAATAAAGCCCGTGTGCGCGAACCAGAATAGGGACACTGCCCAAGGAATCGAAAGGAAAGGAATGGAAGATTAAAATTAAAAGGAMAAGAAAGAGATGATTTACCTTCAACAGTTAATCGTGCAGTCGTCATGTCCTTTCCACAATTATTCACAGCTTCGCACTTGTACATTCCTTCATCATCAGCAGTACAATGTAAAACCTCTAGAATCAATTTATCGTCTTCAACACGGATCAGTTTATACTTCTCACTTTCATCAAGCACTTGATCGTTTTTGAACCATTGGTACGTCGGTTCGGGATTGCCAAGAAGAAGACATACGAACTTTGCGGTTTCATCTTCTTGCACTTTAAGGTTTCTAAGTTTTCTTATAAACTCAGGAGGTTCGCCACGCGGTCGGAGTGGCGTCGACTGAGGTATATCAAAGGATAATTCTTCTTTGGGTAACTTCGGACTTTAAATAAAAGAAACGTTTATTAGTATTTTGTCTTGTGCTCCAGTCGTTGACTTGTGTATCAACAGTAATAAGTGAAAAACTTATAGTACATGACAAAAGAAACAAATCAAAACATACGCTGCCATTACAGCCTCTTTGCGAGGTTCTCCTTCATCAGATTCGTCTCCAGATGGTATCAATTCTGAAAGAAAATAGAAGCAATATATAGTATGTTTGTTTTAGTTTTTATATGACACAGACCACTTACCAGTGACAAGAAGACTAGATGAAGAGAAATCTTTTCCCTGTCTATTGGACGCCACACACTTATACCTTCCTTGATCGGTCAGCCTCACATCTCGGACTACCAGTGCGATCTCTCCATCTGGTGATTCCTCGAATCTCATTCTACCAGCATGCAGAAACTCTTTATCGTCCTTGTACCATTCGATGATAGGTTTTGGATGTCCAATAACCTTGGCGTTCAGTCTAGCAGTGCTACCAACAACAGTGACTGTTCCTCTGAGTTCGACTTCAAATCGTGGTGCCATGACAGCCATCGATCTCTTTGGTTTGGGAATTTCTGTAAATCACAATTAACGTACACACATCGTCATAGGTTTGTTAAATAAAAAAACCCGGACTACATCCGTTCTCTTTTCCAGGAATTCTCACACCATCATTTTAATTGCAACTATTATTGCCTTGCCACATTACTTTAGCTTATTATCGTATTCATCTTAAGCATTACAAGTTTTCTCTTACCTTCAACTGTTAAGTTCGCCGTTGTTTCAGTTTCACCACCTATATTCGACACCATACATTTATACTTTCCAGCATCTGACACTTGGCAGTCTCGTATAACAAGGGTTTGTGTTGCACCTGCACTAGTTATTTCGAAACGTCCGTAGCTACCTATGACGTGCCCATCCTTGTACCATAAGATATAGGGCTTGGGATTGCTTGTAGTTCTACAACTAAATCGAACAGACATGCCTTCCACAACAGTTCTGTCTCTAAGATTGAGAAGAACTTCAGGTCTTGGTATTTCAGGCTTCTGTTGTTTGGTTTTCTTTGCAATTTTGGACCTTCAAAATAACATACCGAAGCGAAATCAGAAACAACAACAACTCATTTATGAGAACTATTTATATAGGTTAATAACAAAAAGTAAAATTATCATATTAAAAGCCGTCTACTTACGCGTCAATTTCATCTGTTTCACTTTCTTCTCCTTCTGTAACAGGATCTGATTTCAAATTATATCACATGTTATTACAACATTTGATACAAAAGATGAGCCGAGGTAAATACAAGGATGATGTCTAAACTAATAAAACTTCATGAATGTCCAGGGAAAAGTAATAAGTAGATATTCATACGTTTTACTGTGACGTCAGCTGTGGCATGTTCTCTTCCAGCGGAGTTCCTGGCAATCACTTTATAATGTCCACTGTCGTCTTCTGTTACATCGTTAATAAGTAAAGAATACAGGCCATCTTCAACATCAAACTGATATTTGTCTCCTTCAATAAGTGGTTCGTTGTCTCTGTACCAGCGCACTTCAGGGGTTGGAGCTCCTGTTACTCGGCATTCTAGTCTCACAGACGTTCTTTCGACAGCGTCGACATCTTTTGGTTTCAGTGTAAACCGTGGCGAAAGACCTTCGAATTCTGGCTCCATTTTAGCTGCAAAAGAAAAAGATTATATATACCATATAAACCTGTAAGTGATGGAATATGATAATTATTGCTTATAATCTACTTCATAAAAGATCTTACCGACAACATTGAGGTATGCGATACTCTCGACTGAGCCAAACTCGTTTGTTGCTACAATTTTGTAGGGTCCACTATCAACCACCTTCACTTGGGAAATACTTAAAGCATAAAGATCTTCATCGTGTTCAAAGTAAAAGCGATCCCAGTCTTTGGTGATGACTATATCATCCTTGAACCACTCAACACTTAGATGCGTCTTACTGATAATTCGACAAGCAAACTTTGTCACTCCTCCTTCACTAACATCCCTGTTTCTCAGTACAAGAGTGATTTCAGGAGGGACTTTCTGCACATATGGGATGCCTTCAGCACGTGCTTCGTCTGATGTATCGTCGGATATGAGGTCAATGGTCGACTCTCTGTATCAAATTATTTCAATTTATTAATGAAATACGACATGCAAAACAGTGGTTACTAGAAGCATAGCTACCTGTTGTCTCTCATTGTTGCAAAATCCATGTCTGTATCACTTACTCCAGATTCGAAGCCATGAACTAAAGTAAACAAGCAAAATCACATTAAAATCAAAATGTTGCTGATTTGATTGAATTTAACACTGCAGCATTGATGGTAGTTTCAATTCAAATCTCATCTCTGTTATCATATTTGATTTGATGTCTATTCTTCATTAATCTCACACAATTTTCATTATCAACATCACTTCAATGTTAAAATGTAAGATCATCATTCTTACTTTCAATAAACAGTTCAGCACTGCATTGTGCTTTTCCTGCTGCATTGCTCGCAACACACTTGTATCTTCCACGATCAGACTTCATGGCTTCTTGAATTATTAGTATACACGATCCATCATCTCCAAAATGGAATTCAATACGACCTCCCTCGCGAATGACACGGTTATCCTTGTACCAATCAACGTCAGGCTCTGGAGTTCCTCTTACTTGAACGATTAAGCGTGCAGCACTTCCCTCGACAATTTCCTGGTCTTGGAGGCGTTGTATAAACTCTGGCTTGACAGCTCCAGCAGGAACAGGTTGCCGACGCATAACAACGGCTTGAGCTAGAAAAACACAAAGAAAAACATCAACAAAACTTAAATATATACAGCACATATACACTAGGAAACTTGAACAGGTTGAAGTGAAAAGGATCTTACCATTTACAGATACTTTAAAGGTTTTCCTTGTTACTCCTGAGGAACTTGACGCTTCACAATGATATTCCCCAGAGTCTTCAGGCAATGCTTTTGGAATAACGAGCATGTACTTATTGCCCTCATTAAGGAGTTCCACTCTTTTAATTCTCTTGGCTTGTCGATTTTCTTTGAACCATTCTATTGTTGGTGGTGGCTTTCCTTTTACCTCAACAACCAGCTGGATGGGAACACCTTCCCACACATCCATTGGAACATCCCCAGATCCACCCGTAAATGTGGGCGCAATGATCTTGTCTCGGACGTTTAATGAGGTATAACAAGTGGTGTCGCCAGCTTTGTTTTTAGCAATACACATATACTGTCCTGAATCACTTGGCTTACAATCACGAATGATTATTTTATGAACCTTGGTATCGAAATCTTCTTCAATACGAATTCTTCCACCGTGAACAAGCTGTTCGTCATTTTTGTAAAACTCTACTGTTGGTTCGGGTTTCCCTGATACTTGGACTTTAAATGTAACCTTGTCTCCTTCTGTGACCAACGCGTCTTGCATGGATTGATCGAAGACTGGTGCTCTGATGTCTTCTTTCACAGTCAGTTTAGCTGCGGACTTTGCTCTTCCTTCTTTATTTTTGGCCAGGCATTCGTAGATACCATCTTGATCCATTCGAACTTTTTTGATGACAAGTGTACAATAACTACCATCGAATTCTGTATACGTGTTGTAATCTTCTTTGAAATTTCTTCCATCCTTAAGCCATTCTATCATAGGTCTTGGTGTTGCTCTAACGCGGCACATCATTCGTGCTTCCTTGCCTTCCACGATATCCCGATCTTGAAGAGGCTCGATAAAGAGCGGTGCAGGCGTTTTTGCTATTCGAGAAATTAAAATTATATTTTTGAAATGCATCCTACTATCAAAATGAAGGTTACCAGGTGGAAAGTTCATAATATGATGAATACTTACTTTCAACAACTACAGTGAATGATTTTGAGAATGATCCAGCAGGACTCTTGGCAACACACTTATAGACGCCAGTGTCTTCAGCTGTAAGACTGTTGATTGACAGATTGTATTGATTACCAATTGGCATCAGGTTGATACGCGCCGTTCTTCTGATGACAGTTCCATCTTTGTGCCATTCCACATCAGGTATCGGGTTACCTTCGACGGTTGTACTTAGTTCTAGATTTTCACCCTCGTTTAGCAACAAGGCACTCTCAGTGGTTATGGCATTCACTTTTGGTGGAACCATCTTTTCGGTTACAGCAAGCCTTGCACTACACTGTACTCGTCCTTCTTCATTTGTTGCAATACATTTGTATGTACCAGCGTCCTCTAGAGCGACGTCGTTTATAACGAGTCTGACCGTGTTCTTGTCTTCTGCTCTCGATTGAAATCGTCCGTCTGTCTTAATTTTCTTTCCACCTTTCGTCCACTCTACTGTTGGCTCAGGGTTACCAGTAACTCGGACAAAGAATTCAGCTGTCTTTCCTTCCACCGCTGTTGTGTTTTGCAACCTCTGTTTAAATTCTGGTGTGACAAGTGGTTCAGCGACATTTAGCTTTGCCTTTGATGAATCACTGCCCACCTCATTGGTTGCTACACAAGTGTATTCTCCTTTATCATCGTCTTTTGTTTCAAATATGGTTAGCTTGCACAACTCTCCATCGTAGAACGATCTAATTTTTGACGATAAAGACAACTTTTCCCCGTCCTTTAGCCATTCGATCGTAGGTTCAGGATGACCACTCACTTTTCCCTCCAACTTGGCAGTGGACCCATGGACGACCTCGACGTTTTTCAATTGTCGGAAAAACTCTGGAACAATACCGCGTGGCTTTTTCGCTGTTGAAAAGTAATCAGAATGTAATAAATATCACCTAGTATGAAACCTTTGAGCTAGGTATAATTTGCGTTAATTATTGGACACAATCCTACAACGCCGATGTTGAAACGAATCCTTGGCACTCAACCCACTGAAGCAGTGGATGGGGAAATTTGATGATGATGATGATGATGATGAGTAATCTTAGGCATTGATGATCTCAAATAATAATATTACCTGTGACGTCAATACTAAACAGCCTATAGGATGAACCAGCTTTATTTCGTGCAACACACTTATAAAAACCAGAATCCTTGGGGTTGACGCCGTAAAGTCGAAGTGAGTGCTTGTTGTTCCACGAACTCATCGATACCTTGCTGGTTTTCATGACTAAAAATAAAAATATGACATTATTGCAAAATAACCCAGTAGCACTTTATAACAACTGCTGTGACAAACAAAACCTACCAAGTATCTCATCTTTGTACCACGTGATTTCGGGCGTAGGTCTACCCCTGACTTCCACATCAAAGGTGATATCATCACCCTCTTTGTAAACCATCAAAGGCTCATCAGTGCCAACAAAGGAAGGTCCAATGACAGTTTCAAGGACATCAAGTTCAGCTCGTGTGGTGGCTTTACCAGATTCGTTTCTTGCAACACACTGATATGTCCCTTCGTCATCGTGTTCAGTTATCGGAATGATTAATACGTACTCGTTTTCTGCATCTCCTCGCGAGATTGCATATTTCTCTCCATCTTCAATTAGTATATCATTGTGATACCATTTCACGCTATCAACAGGGCCTTTCAATTGCACAGAAAACATAGCTTCTTCCCCATCACTAACTTCGACATTCATCAATCTCTGTTTGAATGAAGGTGGACTAACGGATGACTCAATTGTGAGATCAGCTGTCGTATACACAGATCCCGCCTCGTTTGTAGCAACACATCTGTATCTCCCTTCATCACCATTTGTAACCTCTGTGAAGTTAATGTACTTCATATCTCCGGTTGAGCCTGTTGTTACACGTCCTTCTGTAACGACGGGAATGCTGTTTTTAAACCATTCAACTGTAGGGGTAGGCTCGCCAGATATACGGCATCTCATTTTGATGGGACTTCCTTCACTTGCAGTGACTGGTTTCAAGGGAGCTACAATTTCTGGAGCTGTCTGTCCTGGTGTCCATGTTCTCTTAGCTTGGAAAAAAAAAATTAAAAAAACATTAAGATAAAAATAAAATAATTAAGACCATTAAGTCAACAATTTTAATCTGATTAGATCAAATGATGTAAACTCACGTGTAAAGAGCACCTCTACCGACTTTGTAGCAGTTCCTGCTTTGTTTTTAGCAACCACTTTGTAGTTTGCAGCATCGCGTTTTACTACGCCGGTAATTGTAAGACTAAACCTGTTGCCACGGGAAGATAGCTCAACCCTGTCCGACTCAACAACTTGAAATTCATCTTTGTAGAATGTCACGTTCGGCATTGGTCTTCCACGCAAGTAAAATGTCAAATCAAGATCATTGCCTTCGAATACTGTGATAGAATCGTCCATTTCACCAATGAACGAAGGCTCGATCATAACGTCTGCAAGACGTAGCTCGGCTTTGGATATTACCTCACCTAACTCGTTGGAAGCGACGCACTTATACAGACCTTCATCTTCGGGTTCGATATTCTCAATAACTAGGGAGAAATAACCATTTCGCTCTCTTTCGGGAGTCATTCTTGGGTGCAATTCAATTTTTTCGTCATTCTTGAACCATTCAATTTGTGGCAATGGAGAACCAGACACTTTAGCCCGGAAGGTTGCAGTTTCACCAATGACACTATCAATGTGCTGAAGTTTCTCGACGAACTGGGGACGCCTTTCTCTATCACTCACTGTTACTTCTGCAGATGTTGAAACAGATCCATGAGTATTTTCGATAACGCATTTGTAGACACCTTCATCATCGCGTTTAGCATCTTTAATCCTGAGAGTACAGACATCTTTCTCGTACTCGGTCATCATACGCCAGTTAACAAATATTGGTCGGTCGTCTTTGAACCATTCTACTGTTGGCTGAGGTTTCCCTGTGGTCTGACAAAAAAGCCTGATAGTATCCCCTTCAAAGCAGTCAACTGGTTGTAATCGTTTGTAGAACTCCGGAGGCTCACCCTTCAGTTTACCACCTAACAGGAAACAAACATAGCCATTTGATTAATGTCCATGATCAATTAAATCAACATTTCTCTATTTTTATGTGCCAAAATCCTTAACAATATAGTGACTAAAGACGTACCTTCAACTTTAACGACAAACTCCCTTGATGCCGTGCCCAATCTATTTTTTGCTACACACTTGTACGTACCAGCTTCGTCAGGTTTCACACCCGTGAATTTGATGTAATGACAGTTGCCGCGTGATCTGACGTCAAGTCGCAGGTTTCCATAGGTCGGTATCCCATCTTTGTACCACGTTACAGAAGGCTGAGGATTGCCAAGGACTGTTAACTTGATAGTTGCATCCGCTTCCTGAGATAAGACAATTGGTTCAACTTGTTCTGGTTCTTCGAATCTTGGAGCGAATTGCTTTTCTTTGACGTCGAGTTCACCTCGGGAAGTGGCCTTGCCTGCACGATTCAAAGCAACACATTTATATGTACCAGCATCGTCCATCGTCACATCAGATATACGTAAACTGTATGCGCCTCTTTCTTCATCAACGGTCATTTCGAAACGGCCATCGTCAACAATCTTTTCGGTTCCACGATACCATTCTACTGTTGGAGCTGGGTTTCCAGAAACGCGCACATCCAACCGAACGTTTTCCCCTTGTGTAACTTCTTGTGGTCGAAGTTTAGTCTTGAACTCGGGTCTCGTGGCGGTTCTGATGTCTACTCTTGCAGATGTTGTGATTTTTCCTAGTTCATTGCGGATGACACATTTATAATTTCCAGCATCTGTGTCCATAGTTTCTTTAAAGGTCAAAGTAACTACACCATTAACAATTTCAGACTGAAGCCGTCTTGATTCTTTCACGGCCAAGCCGTCTTTGAACCATTCCAACTTTGGTGTTGGACGACCAGTGACAATGCATTTCAATACAGCCGGCTCACCTTCGTCCACTTCTATTGATACCAAGTTTTCTACTATCTCAGGAGCATCACCTTCTGGCTTTTTAGCTTAAAAATAAATAAATCACCTCATTACTGACATATAAAATAATCTTTAAAAGCAAAATGATATTCAGGGATGGATGTGTTTTGCTGTCTCAAGTGAAACTATTTACCTTCTACATTTATGTTGAATGTTTTCTGGGAAACGCCACCTTTGTTACGAGCCACGCATTTATAAAGTCCACTATCATTTGTACCAGCATCACGTAGTGCCATTGTAAACGTATTTTCTTCAGAAGAAAATTGTACCTTCGAGGTTGACCATAACAAGCGCTCATTTTTGTACCACTCAAGTTCGGGTTTTGGTTTACCGGTGACCTCAACACTTAAATCGTAGCTATCACCTTCAGTCAGGTTGATGGGAGATGGTATGTCACTAACGAATTCGGGAGCGATGACATCTTCTTCAAGGTTCAAATAAGCTCTGGATGACACCTCACCGACACTATTTGTAGCTGTGCATTTGTACTGTCCAGCATCACTTTCCTTTGTATTCCTGATGATAAAGGTATACAAACCGTTCTCCTTTTCAACGATGGAAAATCTATCATCTTCTTCCATCTCTATGTTTTCATGGAAGAAATGTAACTCAGGAGCTGGAGAACCATGTACACGAGCTTGGAACTGGACATCTTGACCGATGAGCCCTTCAACATTGGTTAATTTTTGTTCAAACTTTGGTCTTGTTCCTCTCTGTGTGACGGTTAGGTCAGCAGTGGTTGAGGTGGTACCAAAGTCGTTACGAAGAACACATTTATACACTCCATTGTCTTCTAATTTAGTACCGAGAATTGTCAAAGAACACTGAACGAGAGAGGAGTCCTTTAGATATCGTCTTTCCTCACCAATGGGAACTCCATCTTTACTCCATGTAATGGTAGGTTTAGGATGACCAGAAATTAAACAAACAAACTTAGCTTCTTCGCCTTCTGTCACTTCAAGCGGCTTCATCTTTGATGTAAATCTTGGTGCCTCTCCTTCTGGCTCTGTGGCTTTTGAAAAAGAAAAGGTATTATGACAACGATGTTTGTAAGAAAAGTCAAGAATATGATGGCGGCAGATCACCTTGGACGATCCGCATTATTTTTATCACGATTTATGCAAAAATTAATGTTTACCTCTGACTTTCACGATAAAAGTTTTCATGTTCTTCCCAACCCTGTTAGAGGCTTCACACCTGTAGCTACCAGAATCTTCACGTTTTGCACTAAACACGGTTAGCACATTTTCGTCAAAACGACTTCGAATGTCTCGTCTAGAGCTTCCAACAACCATGACGTCATCTTTATACCAGTTAATATCAGGTTTGGGATTTCCGGTAGGACTTACAGCTAGCTTGAATTCCTCGCCTTCATTTACAATAACAGTGCTAGTTTCTTCACCATCCTTGAAAGATGGAATGGACACTTTTTCTTTCACAATCAATTCTCCTCTACAAGTAGTTTTCCCTGCAGAATTTATAGCTACACATTTGTACATGGAGGAATCTTCAAGTTTGCATTTATTGATAACAAGTGAATAGGTGTCGTTGTCGTCCTCAGCATCGATTATTTCATATCGATCACTTTCAAGAACCCTTGTAGAGCCTTGATACCATTCTATTTCTGGTTTTGGATAGGACTTCACTTGTACTTCGAACCTCGCTTCTTCTTCCTCATTAACTTCTAAGGTTTTAAGTTTTTCAATAAATTCCGGTCTTGTTGGCATTATTATAGTTAGAGTAGAAGAGGATTGTGCTGAGCCGAGGTCATTGCGCACTACGCACTTGTAGTATCCCGAGTCTTCATAACGCGTTTCACGTAGAGTTAAAGAGGCGGTGTTGCCATCAAACTCTGAAATAACTCGCCTGCTGTCTTTGACAGAAAGGCCGTCCTTGTACCACTCAATTACTGGTTCAGGTTTCCCACTCACGGTACAGGTGAATTTGGCTCCTTGCCCTTCATATACGTCAACTGACTTTAAGTGGTCAATGATTTCTGGGGCATCCCCTTTCACTTTTTTCCCTACGATAAAATTAGAAAAATGAAAAATTAGAAGAATACATTTAGTTATCATGTCGAAATGTATACATAATTTATTCTGTAAACATGTTCGATAACGTTTTACTTACTTTGAACTTGTAAATCAAACGATCGACTGGCTTGCCCAGCTTTGTTTTTAGCAACACATCGGTACATTCCACTGTCATCTCTTATTAGGTCGACGATAACTAATGTATGTCTATTCTCTTTTACTTGGATGTCTATCCTTTTGGTGTTTATCAAGTTCTTGTTGTAGTGATACCACTCAACCTCAGGTTGAGGAACCCCGTTAACTTCCACACTTAATTCTATAGATTCACCTTCCTCTTTCTCTTGTGGTCCTAGCACTGGTCCTACTATTTCTGGTCTGACAATATGTTCTTCTACATCTAGTCTAGCTTTTGAAGTTATCTCGCCCATAGAATTAGAGACAATACACTGGTACTTGCCTATATCATTTAGCCTACAGTTTTTGATGAGAAGTGTGTGAACACCGTCATCTTCCCTGATTTCATATCTTTCATTACTCTCGATTTCATCAGTATCTTTCAGCCACTGAACGTCAGGGGTAGGCTGACCAGTAACCTTGACTTGGAATGTAGCGTCTTCGCCTTCTACTACATTGACACTCTTCAGTTTCTGTTCAAATACTGGACGGAACCCAACTTCGTTGACAAGGAGTTGGCAAGTGGATGATGCTGAGCCGAAGTCATTGCTTACAACTACCTTGTAAAAGCCTTCGTCTTCGACAGTTGTCTTTTTAAAGTTTAGAGAGCATATTTCTCCGTCGAATTCGGTCTTAACGCGACTATCGGTTCTAACCGTAATGCCGCTTTTCGTCCACCTACAAGTTGGCTCTGGTTTGCCTGTCACTTTGCAAGTGAGTTTGGCGGGTTGTCCTTCAGATACTTCTACTGGTTTAAGCATGCTTGTGATAGATGGTTCCTCGCCTTTAGCATCCGCAACTAGGCAAAAGAACGAGAACGTTTAATGAATACGGAAATGATAATGAAAATATAATGCCTACAAAATCACAGACTAAGAAAAATAACATCACAGACTAAGAAATATAATGATGGTAAGAGACTGAAAAGCATTTGACACTTACCTTTGACTTTCACCTCAAAAGACTTTGACGCAGAACCGACTACATTTGTAGCTTCGCACTTGTAAAGTCCAGCGTCGTCGGGTTTCGCTCGTAAAATCACACAATAGTAAACATCTCGTAGCGATCTAATGTCTAATGTAATACTATCACGTAAAGGTACTCCATTTTTGTACCATGTCACTTCAGGTTTGGGTTTCGCCTTGATGACAGTAGAAATTGAGGCTTCACAGTTTTCGTTGATAACAATCGGCTCATTATCTCCCTCGAATCTTGGCGCATATTGATCTTCTTTGACAATAAGTTCTGCTCGAGAACTATCTCGGCCTTCATTGTTGCTCGCGACGCACTTATAGTTGCCGTGATCAGCCATTGTAGCATTACAAATGACCAAGGTGTATGTTTCATTTTCCTCGTCCTCTATTATTTCATGATTATCATCTTCATCAATTCTCGTTGTACCTTTAAACCATTCAACATCTGGACGTGGATAGCCTTCAATACGTGCTTCAAAGCAGGCTTTTTCTCCTTCATCGACTTCTACTGGTTCAAGTTCACTAATAAAATTTGGCATTGCACGCACCTTCACTTTGAGTTTAGCCGACGTTGACGTTTCACCAAAGTCGTTACGAATAGCACATTTGTAATGTCCGGCCTCGTCACCACGAACTTGTTTAATTGTTAAAGTGGCTTCGTGATTTGTGTAATCTGCCTTTACGCGGTATGTTTCCAGTATTGGGACATCATCTTTGAGCCATTCGATGAATGGAGTTGGTTTTCCAGTGACTTTACACTTAAGAACGACATTATCTCCCTCAGACACTTGAACAGACTTCATAGGCTCGGTTACTTCAGGTGCTTTTCCAGCAGCTATAAAATAAAAGTACATTTGTGAGTCAACGCCAGTGGTTATTAATTAACATACTACTATGTTGTATATAGGGTCATTATGTTTCAGCCATCACTAAATAAATCAAATAACAAAGTAAACTTACGTTCTATATCCTCCATCAATGGTGCAGCTTCAGTTTCATCGAAAGTTACAGGCGCAATAATTTCGTCCTCCTGAATTTCGAGGTTTGCTTTGCATGACACTTCACCGTCTTCATTGAATGCTACACATTTGTATCGCCCAGCATCATCCGGCTCAACATTTTCGATAACCAGCTGGAACAAACCATCACCGTCCTCATCATCAACAATAATGAATCTACCGGAATCCTCCAGTACTTGGTCGCCTTTGTACCAGTCAACTTCAGCTGGCAACGAAACACGTATTCTAAAAACAGCTTCTTGACCGTTCTTCACCTTAATGTTGTTGAGTTTTTCAATGATACGTGGTCCATCACCAAGTTCTTTCTCGTTGACTACAAGTTCCGATGTCGTTGATGCAGAGCCGATCTCATTTCGGACAGTACACCTATAGAACCCTTCGTCTTTGACAGTGGTGTCTTTTATTGTAAGTGTAGCAGAGGTTTCACTTTGCTCCAGTTTAACGCGATGATCCTCTGTAATATCAACGCCATCTTTAAGCCATTCACACGTTGGCTGAGGTGTTGCGGTGAAAGAGCAGGTTAGTTTAGCCTCTTGGCCTTCAGTGACTTCCAAATGTGTAAGTCCCGATGTGATTTCTGGTGCTTTTCCTGGAACCTTTTGTTCTGTTTTAAAATCAAAACAAAAACATTCAATTTCCGAACGATGAATTAGAAAAAAATGTACTAGTAGAACTGAAAAATGCTCACCTCCGACTGTTACTGCAAAGGATTTTGAAGCAGATCCGTGTTTATTTTTAGCTTCACATTTGTATATTCCACTGTCTTCTGGTTTAGCCAGGACAATCGTGAATGAGTGATTTTCACCACGTGATCTAACCTCGGTATTCAGAGCAATCCCCACGGGTTTGCCATCCTTGTACCAGCTGACATCGGGTTTTGGCTTTCCTTTCACTGTGACATTGATTTTAACTTCTTCGTTAACATCTACTATTATCGGCTTTTCATCGACTCCTACAAATTCTGGAGCAAATTCTCTCTCCTTAACAGTCAACTCAGCACGAGACGTGCTTTTTCCAGCGTCATTTGAAGCCACGCACTTGTATGACCCAGCATCGTGGCGCTCAACGATACTGATCAAAAGTGAATATCGATTACCATCCTCCTTTATCTCGAATTTTCCTTCGTTTGTGATTTTGGAAATTCCACTGTACCATTCTATCACTGGCTTTGGAAATCCTTCAACTTCGACATTAAATCTTACAGACTCACCTTCCTCAACATCTAGTGGAATAAGCTTTTTATTGAATGTCGGTTTTTTAGGGACAAGAACAGTCAACTTGCATGTTGTGGAAATCGAACCATGCTCATTTGTGATAATACACTCGTATTCGCCAGCTTCATCTGCGCGTATTTGCTTCAGATTTAAAGTTGCGATGTCATTGTCTAATTTGCCCTTCACCCTGTAGCTTTCTCTCACACGAATTCCGTTCTTTCGCCATTCCACAGTTGGTGTAGGTTCTCCAGAGAACTTGCAGCTTAAGATAACGTCTTCTTCCTCCATCACTTCAACTGGTACAAGTGCCTCGACTATTTCAGGTCCAGTACTAGGCTTTCCATCTGGAACTATAAAAATGAAATAAGTTCAATGTTATAAGAGACATTACTTGTAAATGTGACTATATAAGCATTATTACCTTCTGCTGGAGCTGATTCAGCTTCCTCAGAAAGAGTTGGAAGAAACGATTCTTCTTGTAATAGTAGCCGTGCCTTTGAAGAAGCTTCTCCTGACTGATTGAATACTATGCACTTGTACGTTCCAACATCTTCTGGTCGAACATCATCAATTTCAAGAGAAAATAACCCGTTTTGCTCGTCGTCAACTAGCGCAAACCGACCAGAATCTTGAATTAATTTGTCGTCTTTGAACCAGTCAACTTCAACGGTCCCTGAAACTCGAATTTGGAATACAGCTTTTTCTCCGATAACAGCAAAACAGTCCTTCAGTTTCTCCTCTATATGAGGTCCAGCTCCTTTTTCATTGACCAATACTTCAGCTGACGTTGTTGCTGAATCTAGTTCATTTGTGATAATACATTTGTATATGCCCTCGTCATCTAGAGTTGTTTCCGTAATTGTGATTGTTGCCGAGTTATCAGTTGTCTTGATTCTAATACGCCCATCTGATTTTACAGTAATGTCGTCTTTTGTCCATTTTGATGTTGGAGCGGGTTTGCCGGTGAACTCGCACATTAAAATAACTTCTTCTCCCTCAGTTGTTTCAACAGGTCTTAACTTGGAAGTGAAAACAGGAGCTTCCCCTTTTGGTCCTTTAGCTGTAATACAAGCACATGAAAACATTTATAGACGTATATGATTAAATAGCGCAAAAGGGAAAGAATACCAAACAAACTTACGTTTAACTTGGACATCAATCGTCTTCGATGTCTGGCCAATTCTGTTGCCAGCAACGCACTTGTACGTACCAGCGTCATCCAAAGTTGAGCTTAAAATCACAACCTGATGAGAGTCTCCACGTTTTCTTATGTCTCTTTTTGATGTTTCCAGAATCATCCGTTCGTCTTTGAACCAATCTATCTCTGGTTTGGGATTGCCTTTCACAATAGCCTCAAAGTTGATTTCTTCTCCTTCTTTAACTACAATTGGTCCCTCGATTGGAATGTCGATTTCTGGAGCAAACTTCTTTTCTTGCACATCGAGATCAGCTCTAGACGTTGCTTTTCCAGCGTCGTTGATAGCAACGCATTTATATGAACCAGCATCTGCAAGTTGTAAGTCATTAATGATCAGAGAAAAGCTATCGTCTTCTTCCTCTGTCATATGGAACCTTCTATCTTCGATGATCGTTTTTGAGCCAAAGAACCATTCAACTTCCGGTTTAGGCAATCCTTCAACTTTAACATTAAAACGAGCTTCACCGCCCTCAGTACCAGATACTGGTTTCATTTTGACTTTGAACTCGGGTCGCTTTGGAACAATAACCTTTAACTTACAAGTTGATTCTGATTTACCAAAGTCATTCCTAACAATGCACTTGTATTCTCCTCGATCTTCGTCGCGTGCTTGCTTAATGGTCAAACAAGCTACTCCATCCTCGAACGTTGGCTTAATTCTTCGACTTTCCTTTACGCGGAATCCATCTTTCATCCATTCTACCACTGGAGTTGGTTTACCAGTCAATGTTATCTTTAATGTAGCATTTTCCCCTTCATTCACTTCAATAGCACGCAATTCATCAATGATCTCTGGCGGAGTTCCTTTGAGTTTTTTAGCTGAAAACCGGAATAAAAAACAAGGGTAAACACAACTTAATTCACGAAAGAATGAGTAACCGTGCTACGTGTTGTCAATATCTTGATCCGTTTTTTTTTATAATTACATGAATGCTTACCTTCGACTACAACTTCAATTGTTTTCTCTGCTGTGCCCGCCTTGCTTTTAGCCACACATTTATACTTGCCACTTTCCTCTTGTGTTGCATCACTGATTATTAGTGTAAATTTGTTGTCGTCCGACTTCATGTTGATTCTTCTTGTTTTTCTAATTAGCTTGTTATCTTTATACCATTCAATGTCTGGCAATGGTTTACCTATAACCTGGAAGGTAATATCGGTAGTTTCTCCTTCGTTTAGTTGGATTACACTTTTTACATCGCCGATAAATTCAGGAGCTTGGAGTTCTTCCTTGATACTAAGTGGTGCAGATGTTTCTACTTCTCCTACATCATTGAATGCAACACATTTGTAGGTTCCAGCATCGTCTGCTTCGACTTTTCCAATGATCAATGAATGCATCCCGTCTCCCTCGTCGACGATCTCGAAACGACCACCATCCTCTAGTAGTTTCCCATCTTTGAACCAATCCACCTCTGGCTTTGGATTTCCTCGAGTTTTGACTTCGAACTTAGCTTCGTCTCCCAGACTCACTTCGACCCTTCTTAGCACATCGGTGAACTCTGGTTCAATACGCTTCTCTTCTACTAATACTTCAGCACTCGAAGACGCTGTCCCTATATCATTAGTTACAACACATTCATACAGCGCTTCATCGTCAAGAGAAACTTCTTTGAATTGTAATGTGATAATTATTCCATCGAAGTCTGTTTTGATACGTCGATTTGTTTGTAACTCCTTCCCATCTTTCATCCATTTGACTACTGGTTCAGGTTTTCCGGTTACTTCGCAAGTTAACTTGCACTCTTGACCCTCTGTTACGTGTTTAGGCGTCAACTGCGATTTGATTACTGGGGCTTCTCCTTTTGGACCTGGAAGAATAACATCAATGAAGCCGTAAATAAGAGCAAATGAATTCAGACAAAAGAAATCTAAGAAGAACATAAAAAGGGTAATGAATATCAACAATATTAGCATTGCATGAGTTTCTTCAGCTTTAGATGCCGTTGAATAAGTAAAGTTTGTGATCCTGAAGAGCTGTTAGTAAATTGGACAAGTACTTCTAGTTAGAGAGTAAGCTTCAGTGTATAACATTGAATGTGATTTGGTTAGTGATTAAATCCATTGGCTGGAGCTGAGGTTAGTGATTAAATGCAGTGGTTGGAGCTGATGTTCTTTATAAGGAAGGCTTGTTAGTTGTTGATGTAGTAAATTGGGCGACAAATCCAAATACTAGAGCGATATTTGTATCCAAACCTTTTACTTGGACGTCGAAAGTTTTAGACGCGATTCCTAGTTTGCTGGTTGCTTCACACTTGTATGTTCCTTGGTCTTCTGGTTTTGCACTGACAATTACAATATAGTACGAGTCACCACGTGATCTGATGTCAAGTTTTGTAGTGTCTTTGAGTGGTTTATTATCTTTGTACCATTTCACTTCCGGTTTTGGCTTTCCTTTTACGGTAACCTTAATATTCACTTCGTCGTCCTGGTTAACAATAATTGGTCCTTCTAGATCTGATTCAATTTTGGGTGCAAACTGTCGCTCTTTTACGCTCAGATCAGCTCGAGTTGTTGCTTTGCCTACTTCGTTTGTGGCTATACATTTGTAAGCGCCTGTATCATCTCGGTTCAAGTCAACGATGGTCAAGGTGTATTTACCATCGTCAGTTTCTTCAAACGAATACCGGCCTTCATCGACAATTTTTGTAGTTCCTTTGTACCACTCCACGTCAGGACGTGGTTCACCTTTAAGTTTGACTTCAAATCGTGCCTCTCCACCCTCGACTGCATCTACAGGTTTGAGCTTTACAGTAAAGTCTGGTCTAATAGGTACCTTCACGGTTAGCTTGCATTGAGTTGATGATGAACCCAGATCATTGCGAACAACACACTTATACTGTCCTTGATCGTTGGCTTGTGTTGACTTGACTGTGAGACGTGCGACATCGGTAGATAGTTCACTCTTAATTCTTCTGTTCTCCTTTACACGAAGAGTACCTTTATACCATTCGACAACTGGTATAGGCGTGCCAGAAACTTTACACTCAAGGACTGCATTGTCTCCTTCAGAAACTTCTACTGGCTGTAGATCTTCAACAATTGTGGGGGCTGAACCTTTGGGCTTCTTAGCTAAAAATAAGAAACAAAGTAATGATTAAAACTGAGAAGTCTAAAGGACGAACTTTAAATTTTAGAAAATTATTACTTACATTTAACGGTTACTTCAAAAGTCTTCTCTGCTACACCAGCTGTACTTCGTGCCACGCATTTATACTTCCCAGTGTCGTTTTGAGTTACATTAACAGCAATAAGTTGGAAGTGATTTCCTTCGTCCTTGATTTCTAGATCTTTTGACTTTTTAATTGGTTTGTCATCTTTGAACCATTCTATCTCTGGTAATGGTTTTCCAGATACCTGCGCATTCAATTCAAAGCGTTCTCCCTCCGTCACAGTGATGGGACTCTCTCTGTCTTTATCAAATTCTGGAGGAATGGAATCATCTTCAACGACAAGATTGGCACTTGTTTCGACTTCACCCGTTTCATTCATAGCAATGCATTTGTATATTCCAGCATCTTCTGGCTTTAAATCATCGATGACAAGAGAGAAATGTCCTTCGCCTTCTTCTTCATCGACCAGAAGATATCTATCTTTATCTTCTATAACTTTACCGTCTCTCACCCATTCTACGTCTGGCTTTGGTGAACCAGAGACTCGAATGTCGAACTTTGCCTCTTTTCCAACGACTGCCTTAACATCCTTCATCTCTTCATCAAAGGCAACATTGATCGTCTGTTCGTCAACAAGTATTTCAGCACTTGAAGATGTTGTTCCATATTCATTAGTGGCGACGCACTTATATAAACCTTCATCATCGAGCACGGTTTTCTTAACGGTGAGTATACTCTCAGTTCCATCGTAATCGACGTTTATTCGCTCGTCAGGTTTTACTTTCTCATCATCTTTGAACCATTCAGTTGTCGGCTGGGGTTTACCAGACACCTTGCAAGTAAGCCGGGCGTCCTTTCCTTCGACAGTTTCCACGGATTGCATTTTAGAACCTAGTTCAGGAGCATTGCCCTTAGGAGCTTAAGGAATAATTTAAGAAACAATATTAAGTGGAAATTTTGAATATACACACGCGAAATAAATTATCATACAATGACTATTCTTTGATGTACAATTCAAGGAAGGATCTTATCGAAAATCTATTAAAAAAGCACCGCAGATTATTTTAGAAGTAAGACATAAAAACTATTACCTTTCACTTGAACGTCAAAGTTCTTGGAAGCTTTACCAAGCTTACTGCTCGCCTCACATTTGTACGTTCCTTGGTCTTCTGGTTTTGCACTAAGTATCACAATGTAGTATGAGTCACCACGTGATCGAACGTCCAGTCTAGTTGTATCTCTAAGTGGCTTGCCGTCTTTGTACCATTTTACATCCGGTTTTGGCTTTCCCGTTACGGTGACGTTAATATTGATGTCGTCGTTCTGATCTATAATAAAGGGCCCATCATGGTCTGGTTTGATTTCTGGAGCAAATTGTCGCTCTTTCACTTTCAGATCAGCTCGAGTTGTTGCTTTGCCTACTTCGTTTGTGGCTATACATTTGTAAGCGCCTATATCATCTCGTTTCAAATCAACGATGGTCAAGGTGTATTTACCATCGTCAGTTTCTTCAAACGAATGCCGGCCTTCATCGACAATTTTTGTAGTTCCTTTGTACCACTCTACGTCAGGACGTGGTTCACCTTTAAGTTTGACTTCAAATCGTGCTTCTCCACCCTCGACTGCATCTACAGGTTTGAGCTTTACAGTAAAGTCTGGTCTAACTGGGACACGAACTGTTATCGTCGCCTTAGATGAAGACGTCCCGAGTTCGTTTCTTACAACGCACTTATATTCGCCTTTGTCACTTGACTTGGTTTGCTTAATAGTCAACTTTGCAACATTGTCCTTGAATTCCATCTTAACATTACGGCTCTCCTTGACTTTAGCATTATCCTTGAACCATTCTGCGGTTGGAGTAGGCATTCCAGACACTTTAATTTGAAGAGAAAGAGAGTCTCCCTCAGCGACCTCAGTGGACTCAAGCTTTTCCAACACCTCAGGTGCAAATTCACGTGGTTTGCCTAGAATAAATAATGGTAAAATGTGAGATGAACAGGAGGGAAGAAACAAAAGGAATTAAAACAAAAGCTGTACCTTCAACTTCCTCCAAAGCAATAGGTGTTGCTTCCATCTCTTCAATAAGATCAGGTGTTATCCCGTTTTGCTCAAAATTTAGATTGGCTTTGCACGACGTTTCGCCAAAGTCATTGATGGCAACACATTCATATTCCCCTGCATCTTCAGGCTGGATTTCGTCGATTACCAGCGAGTACATATTAGGAGCTTCATCGTCGACAAATATAAACCTTCCCTTATCCTCGATGACTTTATCGTCTTTTATCCACTCGATATCAACATCACCCTCAACAACAACGTCAAATTTAGCTTCATTACCAGGTGTAGCAACAATATCTTGTAGTTTCTGCTTGAAGACTGGTTTTTGGTCACCTTCATCAATTACCGGAGCTTTTTGAGTAGGAACTATTAATGAAGAAAATTTGAATAACGTTATTTGTAGCTTTTAAGTTGAATAAAACAAAACACTTGCGATTAACATTAATGATCCAGATGACTTTGACAATATTACGTACAGCACTTTCTTCATTACATTACACTAAACAATGGCAAAATTCTGAAGATATATACACAGATTAACTGACTAGCGTTGAGTCATATAGCACTTTCAAAGAGCAACTTTGAAAACACTACATCTGCCAATCACAACCAATAGTCATAAACATATACCAAACACACCAACGTTAGAAAATCAATTCTACAAATATTCACGAGTAATAATAAGTTTGATTTAGTTAACATCCCATATAAGTGGCGCTTATGATGTGCATCCAACAGATCGGTTGAAATATCCGATACAAACCAATTTGCTTATACAGAATTGACGCTTTCACTTCAGCCTTCATCTTACCTTATTGGTGTTAAAATACTCCAGTCAACCTACCTCCATTTAACTGAACAGTGCAAGAAACCTACCATAATGTCACAGATATAATACATAATTTGTATAGTTATTGATTTCTAGGGATAGTTTAAAGGATCGTAGAAACGACAACGGTTAAATAACACGAAATACACGCTTTAAAAGCAGAATAAATGAAGGACCCCGGGGAAAAAAAAGCAAGGCAATTGATACAGGGACAGGTAATCGGATAAAAATGAGAAATGGCACAAAAAGAAAGCATCAGGACAGGAATATAAACAAATAAATACACAGCGAGTAAGATTGAAGAAAGAAGAGATAAAACATGTGATAAAGATATACAAGAAAGGGAAAGAAATAATAAAATGAATTAAACAGTAAAATAGCACGATTTTTTTGGTTTACTGACTGGCTGCTTTATAGGTTGGTATTGACTAATACCTGACTAATTACCCTATAAGCTAACTAATTAAACAGATGGACCTGCTAATGGATTGATTGATAACTTTTCCGTTTAGTTGGGAAAAAAGGGAATGGGGGTGTTTTATGTTCATTTCAATAAAATAAAACCACACATACAGTTTTCAGATTTTACTACAAAACTTGTATTATGATGATACCTAAAACAAACCCTACAATGTTAATTTTTGCATTAAAGCAATCAATTCCTATAAAATGCTAGTTTTTCATAACGTCACAATCCAACAAGTGCAATCTAAATTATTCTACATTTAGGGTCAAAGTCCTGAATGATTTTCCGATTCGATTTTTTGCTTCACAAACGTACGCTCCACTGTCTTCTGCAGTTAGACCGTAGATATTGAGAGATCGTACATCACCATGTGATCGGGTGTCTCGTCGAGAGCTGTCATAGATCATTGTGCCATGTTTGTACCAAGTGACGTCGGGCTTTGGATTAGCTTTGACTGTGAATGAAAATGTTAGATTTTCTCCTTCCTTAGCAACTTTGAAGATTTCTTGCTCTTCTTCGACAAATTGAGGTGGATATTGCTTCTCCTTCACGTTCAGACTGACAATGGACGTTGTTTCACCGCACTCGTTGGTGGCAACGCATTCGTAAAGTCCACTGTCATCGGGATGAACATCGTAAATGACGAGTGAGTGAAGACCAGTTTTTTCTCCTTTGAATTCTTGATATTTTGCGCACTCAACAATCTTTCGTGTTCCTTGGTACCAGGCCACTTGCGGCTTAGGGAATCCCGTGACGAAGAAGTCGAATTGCACTTCGCTGGATTCAAACACTTCGACTTTCTTTAACCTCTCGCTGATTTCTGGTTTAGCAAATCCCTCGGTAACAGAGAGGCTAGCCAGAGACGTAGCCGAACCAAGGTCGTTTCTGATGACACACTTGAATCGCCCAATATCTTCCTGGGTGGTGTTTCTAATCAGCAGGATTACAACTCGTCCATCAAAGTAGGTAGAATATCGGTAATCTTTCGATATTAGAAGATCGTCTTTAAACCACTGTACCATAGGCACGGGGACAGCACGTACTTCACCGACAAACCTCGTTGTATCGCCATCGATCATTTCCGTGGATAAGAGCTCGACAGTGAAACAAGGTTCAACCCACTGATCTTTCGAAGCTCGAACTGATTATAAATTGAATCAAATTTGTTAATTATTGCTTAAAATCATTGTTTTAAATTGAAACGAGTGATCGTGATGACAAATCGCACAGAACAGTGATCATGATATCGGACAAACTTGAATGAAAGTTATGAAATTGGCACGTTACAGAAGTAAGTAGGACATGAAAATGATGCGGCAAAGAAAACTAATTTACACAAAGGATTGTACAGTGCACTGACGAAAACGTAGAATTTGATGTTATAAATATGCGAATCGACAATTGCGAATAAGTTGCTGATGACAATCTGAAAATGATGACAAAACGAATAGACGATGGTTGAGAGTGACCGCACATTATGTACCTTCGCCACTGGGAAACTGAATGACAAAAAAACATGGTTATATGAACAATGTATTATGGTAAATAAGGCACCTGTGAGATAGTTATCTACCAGGACTATCGTACCTGCTATTCGTACATCGTATAATTTGGTTGCTTTTCCAAGGCTGTTGGTAGCCTCACATTTGTAGAGACCTGAATCTCCTACAGAACCATTTTTGATAACTAGGAAATAGACATCGCCAACTGACTGCATTTCGTATTGGTTTGTGTCAGACAATTCTTGATCGTCCTTGTACCATCTGATAGTCGGCTTTGGTCTTCCTTTGACAACGGAAACAATTTCGACGCGATAGCCTTCTGAAGCAACTACAGGTTCTGTTCCTTCTCCGTCAATGAAATATGGTGCGCACTGTCTCGCTTCTTGACTGACTTCAAGATACCCCAAAAACGTGGTCTTTCCAGCGTTGTTTGATGCGACGCATTTATAGGTCCCAACATCATCCAGTCGCACATTTGATATCACTAGGGAATGTACACCGTTAGACTTAGACACAGAATACCGACCCCTAGTCGACAGCCTTAAGTTGTCTCTGAACCATACAACATTATCGGGCAACGCATTGTCTTTGAATTCGACATCAAATCGTGCATCTTCTCCAACCGTTACTACAAGCTCTTTCATTTTTTCCAACATCACTGGTCTTGAAAGCTTTGGGTTCACGGTTAAGTTCGCTTTACTTTCTGATTGTCCAAGTTCATTTCTTACTACACATGTGAAGCTTCCTGAATCATCCAAACGTGCAGCTTGGATGACCAGAAGATGAACACCTCCGATGGATTCTGTTCCTACACGACGTGATAACTGCAATGGCTGACCATCTTTAAACCACTCAGCTTTTGGTCTTGGTTTACCAGAACTTCTACAAATAAGCATGACGTCATCACTTTCTGTAACTGCCAGCGACAACAGATGGGACCGAATTGATGGTGCTTCGGCATTTGGCTTGGACTCTAACATAAACATAATTAAAACATCAGTGTTTGTCGTAACATAAGAAAAAGTAGACAAAAATTGTTAACCATTCTAATAAATTACCATCAATTTTGACGTCGAAGGTTTTGGACAAGGAGCCAAGAGGATTTTTTACTTCGCACTTATACATTCCAGTGTGTTGTAATTCAGAAGACGGGATTAGCAGGTGTTGACTGTCCTCGCGAGACTTGAGTCTGATCTTGACGGAATCTCTAAGTCGTTCATCATCTTTGTACCACGTGACTTTTGGCGTAGGATAAGCTCTGACTGGCAGAATTAAATTAAGCTCATCGCCTTCTGAAATGTTTATTTGACCTTGATCTACATCATACGGCGAATATGGAGCACATTGTCTTTCTCTGATAGTTAATTCTGTTCGGCAAGTAGAATGCCCTACTTGATTGCTGGCTTCACACTTATATGATCCTTCGTCGTCTTTGTCCAGGTTCTTTATGACTAGTACATGCGAAGTGTTGTCTGGTGATTTTGTGATTTCGTATCGATCTCCAGGGTAAATTTTAATGGAACCTTTGTACCAATCAACTCGAGGTTTGGGGAAACCTTTGACTCGAGTTTCAAAGCTAACTTCAGAACCTTTTAAACCTTCTGTATTGGGGCTTATCTTTTCAATGAAATGCGGTTTGGATGTCTCTGTTGAACCATCCACTTCAGATGCGGCATCTAGTATAAACAAAAATTGACACAATAAATTTTTTGTATTCGTAATTAAGTGGAATCTATTTTCACGGATCCAAAAACTTTTTAATTTAAATGTAGTTTTCGATATTACCTTTCACTTGAACATCAAATGATCTGGAAGAAGTTCCATCATCCGTCACAGCTTCGCACTTATAGAGTCCACTGTCATCAAAGGTGAGAGATGGTATTACCAAGTAATGCTTATCCCCGCGCGATCGAATATTTATTCTCTCTGTGTCCTCAATTCTTATTCCGTCCTTGTACCAAGTAATCTCAGGTTCGCCTTCAGCAATGAAGTCGAGGTTCAAATCGTCACCAACATAAAGTTGAAGAGGGCGCTGTTGAGCCTCATCACTGACGTCTAGAACAGAGGCTTTGCTTTTAACATCAAGATCAACTGTAGACGTAGCTTCACCAGCTATGTTTTTGGCCACACATCTGTATGAACCAGTGTCGTTTTCCTGTACGTCGCTGATGATAAGAGAGTAAAGCCCTTCATCTGGCATCTGAGAAACCTGAAATCTTCCTTGAGTATGTATCCTTGTGTTGTTTCTGTACCACTCCACTTCAGGGTAAGGATAACACAAGAAACGGACGTCTAAATGTACTTTCCAACCCTCCTTCGCTTTGACATTCCTCACTTTCTGAGCTGCCATTGGCTTTGTAACTTGCTGTGCTGCACCTGCACCACTTCCTGTAAATAAACCAAGCATAAAACATTTGTAAAGTAACTCTATATTAAGAATTAAAGTAACTATTTCACATACCTTTTAACTTCAGAATGCAGCTTCTGATTGCAGTTCCTATGCGACTACGTGCTTCACACAGGTATGTACCTGCATCCTCCTCAGTAAGTCCAAAGACATTGACATACT